CCTAGGACATTTTTACTTGTGTGTTTCCGTTCCTCTAGACATTATCGATAACCAAGATGATGTTCGGGGAAAGGTAATCTCACTCGATCCAGGTGTTCGCACGTTTATGACCGGTTACGATCCTGACGGTCAATTAATCGAGTGGGGTAATGGTGATCTCAACAAAATATTCAAACTATCCAAGAAATATGACAAATTACAGAGCGACAAGGATTTTGCGTTAGGGCGAACAAACAAGAGAAAAAGATTTAGATTAAAAAAAAAAATGTTGCGAGTTATACAACGAATCCGTCATTTAATAGATGAGTGCCATCATCAGCTCACGAGATGGTTGTGCACGAATTACGAGATCATCTTGTTACCTAAATTCGAATCTTCGAGAATGGTTTTAAAGAATAAGAGAAAGATTCGGTCGAAGACTGCTCGCGCAATGCTGACTTGGTCGCATTTCAGGTTCCGGATGTTCTTACAACATAAGGCAAGGGAGTTCCGCATTTGCAAGATCATCAAGTGCACCGAGGAATACACGTCCAAGACATGCGGGTGTTGTGGGTTCGTGAAGAATGACCTCGGAGGATTAAAAACGTTCAAATGTGATTCGTGCGAAGTGGAGATGGATCGGGACACGAACGGTGCCAGAAATATCTTGCTCAAATATTTGACAGAGGGTCAGGCTTTGGCCTGACTTTGGGACTTGAACCTATATGGGATACGATATGCATAGTAAAGACTAACTTTATTTATTCATATTGGATTCAATTTCAAGGGAAATGGCCTACCGCTACATACTGCTAACTATTTAAAGCAACAAACTCATCTAATGTGCAAAAGATATTTTACGCAATGCGAAATTGATTTATTAAAACGCATTCGGTTTATACAATTCCAATATTATACAAATAATTATTGCTCGTCTGTAAAAAAACTCAAAATATACACAATATAAAATCCAAAGTTGATTTGCAACACCCTACCGCTCTAACGCCCATTGTCCAATTACTATGCTAATTGTAATATATACACTCTGAATTTGGGAGAGAATAAATGACTTGTAATTTACTGCCTAAGCTTTGAATGTTTATCGAGATCACTCATTCGTCGTCATTCTTGTTAATCATATGATAAACCTCTCCTCTCACTCTCAATGCCAATGCATTATCCGGTTCAATCGCCAATGATTTATCCAGATCCTTTAACGCGTTGTCGTGTTGATTAAGCATGTAATAGACTTCTCCTCGTTTACTCAATGTAAGCGCGTCATTTGGCTCTATTTCCAGTGATTTAGTCAGATCAATAAGAGCACTGTGATACTGATTGGTCACTTGATAAATAGTTCCTCTCGTTCTTAATGCAACTGCATTGTTTGGCTCAATATTTAACGAGTTGTCGACATCGCTCAATGCATTCTCGTACTGCTCCAACTCGAGATAGACGGCCCCTCTTAACCTCAATGCAAATGCATCGTCTGGTTTTATTGCCAATGAGTTACTGAGATCGCTCAATGCGCTATCATAGCTTTTGAGTTTGTAATAGGCACCTCCTCTTACTTTTAGTGCAAATGCATCACTTTCAATTTCCAGCGACTTGTCGAGATCTCTCAGTGCATCGTCGTAATTGCTGATCATGAGATAGACAGCGCCCCGTATTTTCAATGCAAATGCATTATCCCGTTCAGCCTCTAATGATCTATCAAGATCATTTAATGCATTATCATACTGATCAAGCATGTAATAAACGTTTCCCCTCACTCTCAAGGCAATCGGATCGTTTGGTTCAATCTTTAATGACTTGTCAAGATCTTTCAATGCATTGTTGTATTCACCCATCATAAGGTAGACGACTCCCCTTATCCTCAATGCAACTGCATTACTTTGTTCGATTCTCAGCGATTGGTTGAGATCTTCCAGCGCGTTATCAAATTGATTAATCATGAGATAGACCTTTCCCCTTGTTCTCAACGTCGTTGCATCGTCCGGCCTAATCGCTAATGATTTATTAAAGTCATTAAATGCTTTTCCATAATCGTTAGTCATGAAATAGGCGAAACCTCTTGTTCTTAATGCAATTGCATCATTTGGTGTGATTATCAACAACTTGTTGAGATCGATCAATGCATTGCTATACTGATGAAGATTGAGATATATATTTCCCCTTAATTTCAGTGCCGTGGCGTTCCTCGGGTCAACCCTCAATATTTCATTGACGTCATTTAATGCATCCATATTCTGATTGAGGTCAAGATAGACAGAGCTCCTTCCATTCAACGCATTTGCATTATTCGGTTCGATCTCCAATGAGTTATTGAAATCTTCCAAAGCATCGTCATACTTTTTAAGTTTACGGTAGATTTCTCCTCTCTGCATTCGAGCCACCGCATTATTCGGTTCCAATTCCAACAATAAGTTATAATCGTCCAATTCTTCTTCTTCTTCTTCTTCTTCTTCATCATCATCATCTCCAGAATCATTCCGATCATCCAATAAGCTGCGAAATTGATCCTTTTCCGTCTCTAATTCTCCAGACAAGACGACCAGTCTTTTGTAAACCTCTTCACAAGACGGCCGGTCGTCAGCGTCTTCGTCCCAACATTCCGAATACAACTCGATGTAATCTTCAGGCGTTCCAAGGACAGGCTCGTCGCGAGAACCGTTTGATCTAAATTCGATTATAGATGATGCTGATGTCATTCCCTCACATGGCCGCTGTCCACTAGAAATTTCCCACAGTATCACACCCAAACTGAAAATGTCAGATTCTTTTCCCCGTTGATATGAAGCGTCGGTAAGCGATAATGGGTCCACGTATGCCTGCATTCCTTCATTCTCATACTTGGAGGCCTTCATACTAGCTAATCCGAAACCAGTAATCTTGGCAATACCTTTACAGAATATAATGTTATGGGAACCCTGGAAACGTATGTGAAAATATATATTAGTTATCCATGTTCCTGTTTGACTGATAAACTATTGTGACTATGAACATACATTAACATTGTATGATACATTACCAAATGATTATGGACAATATCCAATTCGTGGAGATACTTTAGCCCGTTGACAATGCTTAAACAGAGTGAAAATTTGCTCTCCCATGTCGAAGTATAATAAAATGCTTCCAAGCGATTCCGCAGTGTTCCACCATCAGCATATTCAAATATTGCAAGATAATTACTGGATGCATCTATTTAATAGAAAACAAGGTATTAGTTTACACTTCTATACGTGGATGAATAATGATCGTATCTTGTCATGTGATACCTTTGCTCAATCCTAGGAACTGAACGATGTTTGGGTGGTTAACGATCCGTTGATGTTTAGACAGCTGTGACAAAGTAAAATTGTATATGGTGAATCGGTAAGCCAACGATAACAAAAAAGGACCAATTAATTATATTACACACCTCTTTCACCAATCCTTTGTAGAATTCTTTTTCTGGTCTTTCCTTGTTGCATAACAATGAGGTTACAGTGACGATGCTTCCGGATTGTTTTAATACGGCTTTATAATCTGATCCGCCAATCTTACTACGATGCGACAAGTCTTTTTCGAGATAGTAGGGAATATATCCATTCTGAACGTTCTGTTCTATCCATTTCTTGGGATTTTCCGTCATGGTGTTTAAAGACATTCGAATGTGTTATTTTTCAATGTACACACAGGAGGGGGATTACATTGCTTTTTAACGTTAATTCTGTTCAGTTTTCGAAACTAGGAGCAACTTCTAGATAATGGCATTTTGTTAACATGTGATGAAGACGCATTTACGTGTGCACATTAACATAAACAATACCGGAAAATCTTGATTATCAATGCCCTATGGTTATCAGGCCATTTGTACCTGCAGATTTCGCCATTGATAAATAACAGCTGATTTGAAGTAATTTGATTTCTATTGGAGTTAAGGGGCTATAGCCTTACCTTACTTTCAACAGCTGATTTTATGATAGAGCATATCCTTCATATGTACGATGACGTTGCTAAACATATATGTATAAGTCAATAATGTCGTGTGTGGGAACCACAAATGTAGGGTGTGCGATTACATTCTGTACCACAGTGAATCTAAGCCACACGGCTGAATATTAAAGAAAGTTTTCGTAATTGTACAGGGCAAAAGTATGCCGAACCACCCTTTTCAGATAGCAATACTTACCAGTTCAAAATGGCAAATTCAGTACCACAGTAGTGCAAAGGCAAAGTAGACAGTATTCGGGCAATGATGTCATCCCTCCGCCATCGCAAGCAGTTTAATATGTTCGCGATAGAAGATAAAAGATTATGTTTAGCATGGCTTGTGACAAAACTTTTGAAGTCCAAGAACAAGGACTTTTTTTATTTAGAATAAAGAGTCGAATAGGTGAAAAGCGTGGAATCACGCAACTTCTTAAGCCAAAAATTGGACGTTCGCACTAACTTTCGTATTTCAAACCAACCGCCTTAGTTTTGCGTCTGTAAAAAATAATTGACAAAGTACTTGGATTGTGCTTAAACACTTAGATAGTCCCTCAAAAGATTACCAATGGCCTTTGGATAATTAGATTCTTCAATGTGAGAAAATTGTGATAAGGGGTGTAGTCAAAAGTAATAACTTCTCGGTCAATATTAAGCCGGTTAGTCAATTAAAACAAATCTCTTACTAAGGTTAATAGTAGCGCCTCTTATTAAACCTTGAAGTACACAAAATTGCAATTTACAAACATACTCCAAGTTTTTATTCTACAAAGTTTTAATGTTGTATACAATCACTTGACATATTGATTGTGTATGGTTTTCAAGCTACAAGTGTGTGACTGGGACTGATAACAAAAATTTTATCATTACCATCCTTTCTTAATACTATTGATTACTACATTCTCCAACAGTAAATATACTTTGCAGATGGAAACGAAGAATCTTTATGTTAGAACCAATAATTTCAGCGTTAACTTTAAAATTGCTCGCTGTTCACATGAAGCAGCACAAGCAGCTAAATGTATTAAGGCTTACACTATTGAAAATGTCATATAGATTAATTGTGACGGGCGGTTTACGGTTACATATTAATATATGTGGTTTGGTTTATATTTATTGGACAAACACCATTGTTTTAGCTTTCACCGGAACAGTCGTCACCGCCACTCACACTTTAGTACATGTTTAGACCAAGCCCATTCTTGGAATTTTATTGTCTACACAAAGCCCATTCTTGGAGTTTTGCGTTCTTTATTTGTTTACACCTACGATTGAACGCTAAAGGTGTAAAAAGCCCATTCTTGGAATAGCGACAAGATCATCTATTATCGCAAGAATTTATCCGGTGTTACACACATCTAAACACTATTCTGGCGATCGGACATTGCACAACCCTACAAAGAGAAATTCACTTTGACAAAGATCGCTTTGTAACGGAGAACGGATCCGTCCATCTTACGTAAAAGACAGTTTACGTAAACGAATTTGCAGGTTATCTGCAAAGGAATGTTCGTTGCAAGTGAATTCACGTGTAACACTTCAAATGCGTGTAACATCGGATAATTTTCCGTTGTGCGACAGTTAATATTTATTAATCGTCAGATCTACTTGATAAGTACAAAGGTATCATAAATGCGATTAAAAAGGAGTGAGACTAAGCCTCGCATATACGATATCCTTATCAGATGGACGGATTCTCGAAAGCTTACTATTACGTGCGATTGATTATACGTTATGAATAACGCGACAATCATTATCTATCAAGTGTGCAACAATCTACCTTCTGTCAGTATTGTAAACCAACTTTATTTGCAATGTTAAGCCTACCCCTTTACTGTATTGCATTATTTACTGGTTTGTTTGTTGATACACATGGACCGACAAAATTCCGATGATTATCAATCAACTTGACAATAAAGATAACCATTCCATGACTATCTTAAAATGCCGATAGTAATGGCCGTCTTGGTAAAAACAATCGTTCGGCATTATTTTTGGAGCTCCGATGTTACACTTTAACTTGCCCGTCAAGTGAGGCACAGTAAAACTATACCAATAATGGTGAAACGAAAGCAGTTGATCGGTACAAAAAAAACCGAGTCCCTCCTTAATTCCTTCTATTGTCAGCAATACTGCGGGACTGCAGTAATCCTCGATCCACCACGGATGATTAGTTTTACCTTGCTGTCATTTACGGTTAGGACTTTACTGCGTCGCCCATTTCCGACCGACAAGGATCGGGGCTAATACGCATATATATACAAAGGAACTTGGCAGATGCGAGACCAGAATCGATTTTTGATCGAGGAAAAAATTTAATCAATTCTACTTGTAAATATATACATATATAGAGAAATAATACGTAAAATAATATGACTGCTCAAGAACAAGTTCCTGAATCACCAGTGAAGCCTCAACAGGTACCCACCGAGACCGAGACTAAACGCGAAGCCAAACACGATATCAAAAAGGATGACGCCAGTACCTCATCGTCAGTCGATCTAGAAAAAAGTGCGATGCCTACAGCAGACGAAACTGCGACCACACAACAAACCGTTTTTCTTTCGCTTCGTCAAAAAGTTCCTTTGGTATTGGGATTATGTCTCGCGATTTTCCTATGCGGTCTCGATAACACAATCTCGGCTACGGCGATGCCGGCTATAGCAGCACAATTTAACTCGCTAGCAGATATTACTTATATTGCGACTGCGTTTATTTTGACGTTTAATTCGTTTATTCCTCTTAATGGAAAGTTGTGCGATGTCTTTGGACGGAGAGCAGTAATGCTTGGAGGAATATCAATATTTTTAGTTGGAAGCGCTTTATGCGGAGCAGCCAAAACTATGATCATGTTGATTGTGTGTAGAGCTGTGCAGGGAACTGGAGCAAGTAAGTTTGGGAGGGAGAAGAAGATTTAAAAGTTGTCTATGCAAGGATTGTTCAAGTACGCGAAAAATTCGTGTATAACGAATATGCTATTAATTCTTGCTTTTACATCGATAGGTGCAATATTCGTATGTACTATGATAGTGTTTACTGACATTAGTTCCTTGGAAGACCGAGCCAAATATCAAGGGTAAATAATTTGGCACAATTTATTTATTAAATGACCGTAAAAATTAGCAATTTTTATATTGACACATCTTTTACAATCACACGCGTTCTTTCTCAGTATCATCGCGCTCGTTTTCTCGTTCGCAAGTGTAGTTGGACCACTAATTGGTGGATTGTTTGTGGATCATGTGACATGGAGATGGGGATTCTACATCAAGTACGTATCGATATTATGTAAAGGTTAATCATGTCATGTTCATACAACGTCTAATTCACACACCAATTCCTAACCCTACATTTGCCTACTCAACCTAGTCTTCCGATTGGTGCAATCTCCCTCATCATCTCTATAATTCTCTTGAAAATCCCCACACCTAAAGGCTCCATGAAATCCAAACTCGCCCGCATTGACTATATCGGCACGTTTCTCATTGTTTCCGCAACGACTCTGTTCCTTCTCGGCATAACCTGGGCAGGATCTAAATACGCTTGGCGCAGTGCACCGACCATTCTTCTCTTTATAATCGCCGGATTGCTCTACATAGCGCTCGGTCTCTATGAAGTCTTTTACGCGGTCGAACCGATCGTACCACCACATCTATTCAAAATCCGCACCGCCATTGCAGTATACATTGGTGCCGCTCTCTTCCTATCAGGATTCTTTTCGCTCATGTATTTTCTCCCTATATTCTGGCAAGTTGCTAAACATACTTCAGCAACCGTATCTGGCTTGAGACTACTCCCGATGCCGGTGGGATTGGTCGTTTCATCCTCGTTGGCAACGGTGGCAATTATGAAATTGGGTAGAGTGAAGGAACTTCTTATGCTTGCGTGTTGTCTGGGGTCAGTAGGGATTGGACTAGTGAGCTTGTTTAAAGTGGACGATTCGATAGTAATGGAGATTGGAGTGTTGTTTATCTTTGGATTGGGACTTGGGTTGTGTTGGTCACTTTCTGTGGTTGCTGTGCAAGCTGCGGTTGAGCTTAAAGGTATGTATATCTTTTTTGTCAAGAGTTTGTGAATGTTCTTCTCGTTGACTTTCATTCTAAAAATTTCCTTCGATTTCGCCCTTCCCGACAGATCTTGCCACGGCAACCTCAAACGTGAATTTCTTCCAAATGTTTGGTGGCGCGGTTGGTGTAGCTATTTCTGCTACTGTCTTCAACAACAGTCTTGGTTCACGACTCGTAGGCATTCTTCCTCCTGATCAAATACCGATTGCTCAAAGTTCCATTTCATTTGTCAATTCCCTTGAGGCATCAATCAACGAACAGGTTATCAACGCCTATGTGGAGGCACTGAGGGTGGTTTGGTATGTGCAAAGCGGAATAATGGTATTGGCCTTTGTGTCGTACGCATTTGTAAAGCACTATCCAGTAAGAGTAGAGGATTTGAAGAACGCCGGTGGGGCTATGTGATTGGACAATTACGTAAACAAATTTCTTTTTAGCATGACATGACGTACTTGCCGTCAATATGTTAGTGTTACATAAATAATATTCATTTCTATAGGCCATAAGATTAATATCATTTACGTCATATCATGTGTGGTCATCAACATTAAGTCATCGTTGCGTATGAGCGACGCAAATAGCTAGCAATCGTTCGCGATCGAAATATTATAAAAGGCGAGGGCAGATAGACGGGAAGAAATCAATCCCAACACACACAGTGATATAGCAATACTCTAATATCAAAGCATCATTCAATAAATCATCAATAATTCGAAAATGTCTCAAACTCCATTGCCTCAAAATCAAATGACCACAGAGGAATTCAAAGAATCTCAAAAACATCAACCTTCGAAAAAAGAGCCAGAAAAAGGAAAAGAATCATACGGGCCTTCGAGCACAGCTCTTGGAGGTGTTGGAGCATATGGTACGGTAATCGCTGTCCCACTCAAATTCTATTGGATCAATAACATTCTTATCCTAACATCCAATCATATTTCAATAGCTGGACATATCCCTGTAGATGCAGTTAAACACGAACCGACAACTGGCGATAAAGTACAAGGTGCAGTGAACAAGGCCGTGGGAACTGCGAAAGAATATGTTGGAAGTGCAGTAAAGAATGAGAATCTAAAAAAGAGCGGAACTCTGCAGAAGTCTGCCGGAGACAAACAAATGCATGGAATTGATACATCATAAGAGAAGAGGGGTTGATTGTGGACGTATTATATTATTATTTAGTTTTTGTATTTTGTTAACAATAAAAAAGCGATATTAATATGTATTGCGTTCAATGATGGTGTCTAAATGTGGTATTATTTGTAAGGCAATCAGCGCCCGGATACGTCTTTATCCGTTAGTCTAGAATTTCATAAAATGCATGGATTTAACCTTGTTTGGGTTAATTAATTGCTTTGTAATAACAATACATTGGGAAGGGCGTCCTCATATGCTTTTGAGAGATCGTTAATGACAGTGTGAGAATGACAAAGTATTCAATTGTCATGGAATTCCCCATAGAGAATAAATGTAGTAGCAGATAGTCCTCGGGTTAGCCTATCCGATTCACGGAAACGTTTCGCACACTCTGCAAAATATCACTAAATGTAATTGGATCAGACGTGACTCGCCCGACTTGCGGCCCGCAGTTATGATCAGCAGCAAGGAAAATTCCACAAGGAGCGTGAATTGAAGACGATCGATGATAGTTGATGTGTGTGACTTGATTGTTCTGTTGTGTCTGAGTGCGGGACCTGTCTCAGTTCAGAACCCAGTCCCTCGGTCCGGAACTCAGTTGCCTCGGTCCAGAGGTCCCCAAATGAGGTACAACAACACTATAATAGTGATCAACTTATAAAATTTATTTCATTCTTAAAACGTTAAAGATCTGTCGAATACAGTATATCGAGTGATTTGAAAGAGTTTGAGCAAACAATGTAGTTTTTGTCTTAATCGTAGTATAGTAATAGTGATCTTGTCACGTTAAACGTTTCCAGTAATATAGAGTAGCCTTGAATATATTTGACAGCGCAAGAATAACATCCATCAATTTTAAAAGAAATACTATCCTGGCGAGTCGTAACGATTCTAATATAGTATTTATTCAAGGACATATTCGTTAGGCACTGTTATTGCTGATAGTGGTATAGTTTACATCCAATGTTTATAATAATTATATTTTTCACTGGCTAGATTACATAAGTCATCGCTAGATACTCTGTTGACAATAAATTTCAAAGTAAAGTGATACGATGAGTATGCGCTATATCTCCAATTACTGATCGGTTACAAAGATACGTTTTAAGAACCTTTGGGCATTTTTAAAAATGATTACGTTTTCTCTGGTGGTGACGACAAACTTTGTATATTTGTGTTTACATGCCAATGTGGATATACCAAGACGTAGCTTACGAACCGGTAACATATAAAAAGAGATTTTTTCGCCGACGAATCTAATCTACTCATTCGTTATATAATACACTTTAAAAATCCCGTACAATGTCGACAGCGGAGGAAACAGGATCCAAAAAGCTACAAATTCTAGCAATAATTCTCCCAACAGAAATATTGTATGAAACGACAATTGTTATTTGCACACCGTCATACAGTCATTTTGTAATTTGCAGGCATTGTTCAATGAAATGTCTGTTGGACACAAAAGGAAAGATCTTTTCGGGTAAGTAACGTTTTAACATTGATTGTTCACTTTATACTAATAAGCGAAATTTATTGCTGGAGATGTTATCAATTAATAGTATTCGGCCAGAGATAACTGCTAATAGGTCACCAACGAATGATAAGAGGATACCAGAACTTATTTTCTATATTTTGATCGAATACCTGAAATGCGTCTACTTGGATAAGAGTAGAGGATTACTATGTATAGAGAGATGGGTGGGTGCGTAATTAAATAGGTCACTCGAAGCATAATTCAGTTTAATTGAACAACTACTGGACACCTATGCGAAAGATAATATCGTTCTCCCACCCAAAAAACCCAACCGTAACAAAATAAATATGACCTATTTAAACTGCAACTCGGTACAAGTAAACATGTCTGCTGTTTTTATAAATATAGAGACGTCTATGATTTCTTTTTCCAGCGTTTGGTTAGTAATTATTGATTACAGTTTCATGATATTAATACAGCTTGTGCAACACTTTGAAACTTCATATACTAGTAATAACAGATAGACACAGTTGGCGTTTTTTATTTTTGCATGCTATTCAGCAATGTGTTTGAATGTTTTATTGGATTACATACGTATCACGCGCGCAAGTGTCTTGGAGTAGTTAAATCGGGATCTCCGTATTTTACCGTAGACTATAATAGAATGCTTGGATAAATATCATGACTACTTCGCGAGCAGGGAACTGACTAACAGTATATGGCGTACTTTCTCATTGTAAATGAGCGAAAGCAATTCTCGAAACGTCTCAGTTTACGTAAAGTCACGCTAGGCTTGATTTGATATTCTCTTGCTAAGATACATTAATCAAATCATTACCCTAGTATAACGTTTGTCCATGCCAGGAGGCTCTTGGCGGCGGCTAGGTAGGTAGCCGAGCAGCCTCTTTGACGTAAGTGTGTGGTTGAATTAACCCTCGAGTAAGTATAATACTTCTTAATATTAGTAACGTTCGTCGAATATTCGTTGTCGATACCGAATGCATAATTGGACCGAGTCTCCCATTTAAGTGCATAGTTATCACGTCTCCATTATACGGGAACACTTTTACGTTTGTAATATGTTTGCAACGTGAGGCAGTTTTGTCTTCCAGCCGACGGGAAGTCTCACTATGCCTTGATTGAGAATGAAACATTAATTTGTAAGTATCTCGGTTATATTCTGTTGCGGATAATATTTTTTGCCAATAATATTTAAGCGCCAAAAAATGACTTTAAACTAATGCGGACGATAGGTCCACTATGTTTAAGATTTTAATTGGAAGAAAATAAATGTATAGTTGATATTATAATTGAATACACGATATAATTGGACAGAGGGTGGAAATCTAGCCAATTAAAACCGTTCTCATTATACATTAATCGCAGAATCTCGACTTGTAATTTCTTAATGTGCCAGTATAAGATGAGATAATAAAGTTTATTCCATTTATCGAACATTCTGCTCAGAACTTGTGACTGTTTGCAGAAATAAGGAGGGTTTACTGGTTCTAAAGGGAAATCGTCCATAATAAATAAATCAACAGAATTTTCACCCGTGTTAATATGTTTGTTGATCTTAATACGCAATCAAGTTTGAAGTATTAAAGTACAGATGCGCCTTGACAAGCGGCGTAGAGATTCGCATACAAGTAGATGTAGTTTCTACCACATTCACGTGTAGGTACTTGTACGTGTTTATCATCTGATAAACCAAGCCACACACCGCATGCCCATTACAAAAGGCGTGTCTCACCATCAACAAAAAGGATCTTCAAAACAATATAAATGGTACAATGCATTACGAGTACGCCTTTTCCAGACTATGAGAATAAAACAATCGATAAGAAATGAAGTAATTTATCCATTTCCACAACAGACAACAACCCTCCGTCTCCGGACAGAATAACAGAAATTTCTTTGCTACGAGTTGACAGAAATTTGCCACTAGTACTTAAAAGCCACTCGTACTAAAACTGCTGTCAAAAAACGTCCTTACCTATTTATTCCCTCTCCAGACCAAGTCCTTATCGCCCTCATCTTGAGTTTAGTCTGTCACACCCTGTGCATTGGGGCTTGTCCTTTTTAGAACGTGTTTCTCTTTGCATTTTTAAAAAAGTATAATTCAAAGAGAGATGCAATGATACAAGATTGATTGTGTATTTGTTTCAGTAGGATGATTATGTTGCCGAACATGCGGGCGAAAAAGATAATATAAGAAACCACGGCATAAATAATATTTTGTTTGCCGGGTAATAATAGTAAGAAAGGTATGGATATTACATCATAAATTTCAAGGCCTTTTCAGCAAACTAGGTATTTCTTTTACAATGGGCGAGGTGGTGTAACCAATGATTCTGCACTAAAACATATTACGAGTCAAGGGAACAGTTCCGGATATGGATAAAAATGTCACCTCCACTTCGGTAGAAATATGACCTGATGGCAAAATACGTAAATTGCGGGGCCAATCACTAATACTGTAACGGTAATGATAATAGCATATAAAGATAAGATAGACTGCATTTTAATGTTGCATCCACACGTGCCGGATCATCCGGCCAAATTACTATCCGAATTAATGCACACAGACACCAAAAGCAGATCACACACTGGTCACAACATGTATGCCAAGCCTTTTAGGATTGTCCAAAAAAGTGAGAAATTCACCCGGAGTAAATTCGTTCCTAATAGCCGATTGAAAATAATCGAAATAAACGGTATTGTAAATGTAACAAACAGCGGTACTTTGGTTTAGCCTTGATATATTATGTGATGTATGCTTTTATAGGCTGCTCAGGCGGAATAACATTTTAATGCCGGCAAGAGTGACAAAAGTAGAACACGATTTATTACTTTATTTTAATATTTACAATTAAAATATGCAACAAGTGAACAGAACACTAACTCTGGGCTGGGTAAACAGCCCATAATTGTGTTCAAAAAAGATGCATCCCGGATAATAGAACATTTGTCATGAACCAGAGATATAAATCGGACTAAGCCCAATAGTCGAGCAGATTCTTGTAATTGACATCGAGAGTAAAAAGGATAAACGACGAGGTCTCACGTTATACCGCTTTCTAAAAAAATAAAAGTGATTAAACAAACGTAAATATTATAGGCAAACACATACACACATACAACCCCCACCCCCCCACCACCAACCCCATTTGTATTCCTTTTAATAGTGAAATGATACCTTGTAAACTCGCACAGCTATAAATATTTGCCATTTCTTCTTTTGCCCTCCCCCAAGTGCACACAAACAAGCAAAACCCATCATTCTTTCTTACTCTACAAAAACCAACTATCAAAAAAGAGCGAGAGAAAAACAAGAGAATGCAGAACCCACATTCACACCTTCATTCTAATCGAAATCGCTACCAACCTACAAACTTTTATTATCGTCGGACAAATATACCGAATGCGCAACAAACACCAACACCGCCATCAACACCACCACTTGCCTCTTTTCCTCTTCCCGAACTAATTCTAGTCCGAAACTCATCTTCATCATCAGTACCCTTGCAATCTGAATCAACAACGTTCTCATCAACGCCGACGCCAACAGCAACAATAACATCGTCGTCGTCATCGTCATCGTCATCACCATCGTCCTCATCCTCTGTCCAGACTCACCAACGACGGGATCGATTCTGCCCAATATCCTCCTTTCGGCGAAATATTTCCTCATCCATTCAAACTCATCAACTACAGAATCGGTTCTGCCCTATATCCTTCCAACGACCCAATTCCTCATCCTCGTCCTCTATTCAAACTCACCAGCTACAGAATCGGTTCTGCCCTATATCCTTTCAACGAACGACTCCCCACCCAAACCTGCAACCAAGAATATCCCAGCCAACACAAGAAATACTAGTAAATTTGCAGTACTTGTGCCGCGACCTTCGACAGTCGCTAACGGGACTACATGAGCATCTTAACGGGCTATGGAAGGAAGTATCTGATATAAAGTGTCGTGAACAGCAGGTTGGGATAACCGAGGAGGAACAAAAGTCATTGCGATGCGTTAGGAGGAATATCGAGCATAGGATAAAAGAGTTGTTTGGTGGATGGCATACCGAAGAGGACGACGACGAGGAGGATAGTGGAGAGGAAGAGGACGAAGATGTGGACGAGGAAGAGGAGGAATCAGAAGACGAAGAAGAAGAAGAAGAAGAAGAAGAAGAGGAGGAATTGTTGAAAGACATAGATTCATGATTTATTGTATGTAGATGTCGAGTTACAGACAAGAATAACAGAGATAGATCTATAATTTGTAAATGTAAAAAGACGAGAAAGCGATACGATACGGACAGAGAGAACCATGTCCATTTGTCATAATGGCAAGTCCCTCCAATCTCACGAAAAGTTTGGGTCAGAAAACAGGGCAAAGCGCAGTTCGATATGCCGATTGCGTATGACGTCAGGCAATCGACGGTGGACTTCGAACGGGACTAGCCATATATTGCCTCGATCAAATGAATGGATTGACAGTTGAAACCCGTCCAGTCGGTCGTCAAAGTATTTATTTATATTCAAGATCCACCTTTTATAATCGCCGTGCCAAATTAATTAAATAGCTATTGCTACACTACTGTAATTGATATATAATAAATTTATATAGAACAAAAAAATTCGGTTATTACGTTATCATTTGATAGTTGGTTTCATATTTCTCCTTCCTTTTTTCCAATCGACGTTCCTTAAAAAGTTCTTTGATCACGGCTATTTTTATATGATCGCGTACCTGTCAATAAATGTTTGTTTTTGCTAGACTGACTCTTACTGGAGGCTTTGTCTTTTTGTGTGTGCAAGAAAAGAAAAAGGTTGAATAAAGTTAAAATGTCGTGGAATGTTTGCTTATGTACTTATGCGGTGTACTGGCAGTTAAGGAAACCGATTGGCCTATGAATAGGACCCCAAATTAGTAACAAGACTTGAATACTTAAATTAGCAAACGTGGAACAGTATCATTCATGGTTTTCCGTATATTTTGTGTGTGAGATGTGGGATGTTGGATGTGGGATGGATGTGGGATGTAGGACACGAGTTTCCATATGTAGGACATGAGTTCCATATTAATATGTAGGACATGAGTTTCCCTATGTAGGACATGGGTTTCCATAAGTAGGACATGATGTAGGACTAATTTACTATTTTGACGCATTCTTTTGCTTATTGACTTGCTTCGTTTGGACCTAATGGACTTTATTCGATTATCGGAGTTTTCAATCGAGAAAACAAAATCAGAAACACAAAAAGGGGGCTGCAACTAGTTGGAATATAGATGTCAATGAGACTATAGAGATTATAGTCACTCTCTCTCTATCACTATGGCTAACAAGAGAATGTCGATTGTCTGAGACAAAGGACTCACATGAAAAAGACACAATGGAATTCTTTGTCATGATGTCAACCCCCTCCATTAGGCTGAGTAAGCGATCTAACCAAGCCGATCGGCATTCCGCGACACTTTTTTGTTCAACCCGCCCAACCATAACCTCAAAAGTTGAAACGAACGCTTCGTCTGAAACAGCGACCATGTTGCATTCAACCTTCATTAATTACTATTGCAAGTAATGCACCCACAATTTAGACTTATTTGGGCCATTTCGCACTAGGCATTAGTAAGACTTTGTGTGTCTCATTATTTAAGCTTTCGGCCGACGCAAATCCATATCGGTCATCCGATCGGCAATATGCTAAATCAATGGAGTACAAGTGGCCAAATTTAATCTCCGCAAATTTACACAATATAAATATGCACGTTTCGCTTTTACTATAAGGCTTGGAATTGGTGGCTCGGACATTGTTAACAAGAATTCATAAGCCAGCGTCCGCGGTTTGTAGAAAAAAGAAGGCTACAATTTCGGCGTTAGAACCGATGACGAACAAATCTCGGCTGCTTACCGATTATTGATTTCAAATTGGCAAGGAAATATACTATAAAAAGTGCATCAAAGAGGGTTTTCATTTTTCCAACGTACAAGTATTTAAATACTGCAACAAGCTCCGACAATATTTTATCCCATTTCCCAGATTTCTATCTCGTAAACAATATCTTTGATACCGGTAATCGCTAATACAAGCAAATATACTATACTGTATATATATATAAACAACTCTTCTGCTTAAACTACCTCGAACTGACAATTTTTTATCGAGCCAGACATTCAAAGTCAAAAGCAAAATCAAATACCGATAGAAACTTTTACTTTTGCACACGCTCTACAATTTGATCCAACAAACATGCAGTCGCAATCTCATCCCTACGCTAGCGACAATATCCGCTATTTTTCTCAGACTCACACCAACTCTTCAACTCTACCATTTGCCGCTCTCCCAATAGCAGAACTAAACATGCTTCCATACATTCTGCAACAACAACAGCAACTCATTTATCACGCCAATGGGTCTCTTCCTCCTCTCACATCCGATGAAACTCGAGATATGCTCATAACAATCCACCACATGTGTCAAGATATCAAAGACTCGCTACGTACCCTGAACAATAGAGTCGGTGATCTATACGGCGAAATCACAATGTTAAGAGAGCGTACCTCGAATATAGAGTCGCATACTGGAATCAGAAGATTCGATGACGCTGCGACAGAAGCAGATGACGAAAATGCATATGGAGATGAAAACGATATTATACTGGAAAAAGAAACATTGTCTTGTACTGAAGAATAGGAGATGTTGCTTTGAGTGCGACATAATGATTTTAGGCGTCAATCATTAAAAACAAAAAAGGACATTGATAAGGAATGGGTGATGGGGTTTCCTTACTTACTTAGTCTTGCCTTTTTTTTTTTCCATCCTTTTCCGTTTGGCACAAACGGATGCCTATGATGCGTAATAGACATTTTATTTTTAATTTCTTCGCTTTTTTTTCTTCTTTTTCTTTTATGCAACAAGTACAATAGTCTTATTAACGCTACGGCCTAGATTACTACTTTTAAATATACGCTTTCTCTCCCTTCTCTCTATTTCCAATTACTAAGCATACATGCTCTTACTACGCTCACTACTTTCTATATTAATATGTACAATGTTATTTACGTGTTGCGTTTTTGGCGAGGGTACACATCAAAATGATATCATTGGGTTGCGAATACTTCTCTCTTTATGGGTTGTTTGTACATTTTTTTTTTTGTAAAGATTTTCGTGGATAAATCACGTTTTTATTAAAGAAAAAGATTTTTACTGTAAATCAGACAAGCTTATAGTCATCGGCAAACTGACAGATAGTATTATGTGCTTCTGCCACGCAGTCAGTATTAAAGTTGAGATGCAATTACACGATCTCTATTCGCAATCTGGACATTCAAAATTCTTTCCGCTCCAAAAAGCTTTTGTTCATGCATATCACATATAATGTTTCTGGTTCTATGACATTCATTAATTTACCAATTCAGTCATACTAACATTCAAGACTGCAAAGAACAAGTTACATTTTCTATCCAAATACGGAATAACACTTGAAAATTTACCAATAATCAATCTTCATATATTTGTATATTAAACATTCTGTATAACATACACACAATAATAAGGGTGACACGATTATTTGTACAAACGAACCAAAGAATGCCGATTCCTATCTTGTAAAAATAATTGCTGATCGTTTTGCATCACAGAGTTTACGGTTTTCAAGCAGGGACAGAACAATTCTTGGGGTTACTATTGTAAGGTGATGAATCAGATGACTATGTCATATGGTTATATCTACGCGCTTTTCCCGTGGTACGATAGCGTGTGAAAGTGTTGGAATAACATGACCCTAGACTCACACCCCTTCTTTAATTTATCCGACCAAGTTCTCGTAATTAAATAATCCCTGAATCGCACAAGATAAGGGGTAAAATCGTATACGATTTAGGATGGATGGCTTTCCCTTTGAATGCTGATTATGTTAATATTGTTGACGTGCATAGTGTTGCGACTCTTTATTTCCAAGAATGCGTATTTCCCTGTGATTTCTGCGGAAATTCGTGACAGACGCAGCACGACAAGAAAATAAACCAATTGGGACAATTAAATATTTCCCGTTTTATCGAGAATTCTTGTCGAAAGATATATACGCAATCGTTGTTCTTATAATTCCGTGCAATTAGAATAGTCCTTTAAAAATCAATATTTATAAATTAAATTCGTTCACGCCTTTTCGGTAACATTCATTGTATAACGATCACAGTTGCGGGCACATACCATGCAACGATTATGCAACTTTTCATCCAACTTATGAACATCAGGCTGTTTGGATATGACGGGTTGAACCTTCAATCACACTTTCAGTGATTAATGTTTCTCTCTTCTCCCATCCCTCGAGCTCCGTGTTGTTTCAAAGTTCAATAAACAATCATTTTCTTACTCTTCATTGTATGCGCTCGTGAGAGCGTTCATTGATACGCTTTGGCTTTTGTGCCCTATCTGCAAATTGAGGGTCGAAGGTCTAAAAGAAAAACAGTTGGTAGAGACATCTTGTGATGCTGTTATACATTGAAGTCGTTGATAACATTTCCTAGCCAGCCATTTCTCATCGGCGGTCCAAATTCCCTGGCTGGCAATACAGGTAGTATTAAAAGCAATCGTCTAACTCATCTAGGTGCAAAGCGACCTACTCCGCAAAAGATCGATCGATGTCGATATGTTGGATTATTATATAAACGTATTTATTCCATACCAAGTGCTGTCGAATTTGTGATTATCTATAAATGAGGACTCATGAAAATCTATTTCGGGTTCTTGTATACGTCAGATAGATACTACTGTGATTTAATTTTTGGTATATGACTACATAGAAAATATGTAACTTGACAATCATGTGTCCAGATGACGAAAATGAAAAGTTCGTTATCATAGATAAAAATCGACAAGATCGGAATGTCATCAGTCACGTAAGACACATTTAGCTTAGCCGATTTTTCGTCCTGCCATGTGGCAGTTAAAAATAATAATATGTAACCACAGATCTCATTTCTGGGACCGTGACCCATCGTACGAAGAACTATTGTTAGGAGAATCATGCATTGCTTTATTTACACAAAGTAATGCCGAAACTAGAATTTCTTGAGCAAAGGAGTTATATTCTAATAAGATTCGCATTAAATTGTTCCTTATAAGGTAAAATGACCATGAGGAGGACAGCATAACATTAAACATTCTATAATACACCACCAATGCAATGCCCCACACTTTGTATTCGTAAATTGTGTGCCAAAAATACAGTCAACTCTGTTTATACCGGAAATGTATATACCAGAATCTCACGCACAGATTCTTGCACCGTTCGTTTCATATGAAGAGTCTTTGTTTATACCAGAGTCTCTTATAAACTTTTCCTATACCGGATCCGGAAGGACACAGAGAGCTATGCCAACCCGTTCGGTATAAACAGATTTGACTGTATAAGGAAGACACAAATAATTAATATCATTACGCAAATACGCGTAATTGCCAGCATAAATGATTTTTACAGGGGTAAGGAACGCTTATCCGTACAGTTATTACTAGTGTAAATCCAAAGTCGCAGTTATTGTTGTATGGGCTCGTTATACTGGTAATTCATTACCTCGATTTAGAACGAAATCTAAAGAACCAATGCCATAGTTTGCTAATGACAAGTTCTGATGTATAAACTGGGCCTTTAGTAAAACTAAAGAACGGATACAAAATATCTTTACTTCCAAGTTTCGGCGCTTTGGGTTATCGCACTGAAATATCGTTACTTTGGTGCACTTTACACCAACACGCATACTGTCTACGTGAATTCGGGAGCTTCAAGGTTCCTCTTCTTTGGGAAGCAATTATGATGTGTTCGTGAGAAAGACTTGTATAATATAACCAATTATTTATTAATAATATTTTTACACAGAAAAACGGAAATCACTGGTATTTTTTCAGTTTCTTAGCTAATGGTTTTTATTTTCATTGCTCATTAACAAAAGTTTGACTTTGGAAGTTGGTACGGTACTGGTACCATTATCATTAAATAGACATATAACATCTATCCTTTATAATTAGCAATTATAGAAGTTACAATAACAAGGATGTAATAAAAAATTTAAATTATTATATGTTAAGAAAAAAATAGATTATTTTGACACCATGAAGGAATTACTGCTTGTTTGGCATGGAGATGTAGGAGTGTTGAATCCCCATACGGTGTAATGATATTCTCCAGACGACAAGGTGCCCCCCGCTAAAATAAACGGTACGGTAACCTCGGTTTTGCTACCCACGGGTACTTCTCCTCCGAATAATGTATCCCTGTAATTATGATCGTCATCGTATATGTCGACTTCCACAATCACATAAATTTTAGATTCGCCGAGTTGGACAGTGACGTTTTGATGACTACCATACTTTAATGTTTCATTGCCAGCTGGATAAAGAACGCTGAAGCCTAATCGCCAAAAAAGTTTGTTAGGATAGACTTTATCCATAAAGCGCTTGAAAGAAAGTCTTTTACTTGTACATTTATTAATTACCCACCTGCGCAGCTTTGCTGTTCTGGGGCAGGAACAGCTGTGACCGTTGTAGTCGCCAGAAAAGTAAATGCAACTAACAAAACGAGGAAGAAATAATTGTTGTTCATGCTGTCGGCTGTTTGGAAAAATTTGGTTGAGTGTTAATGTGTGCAAATTGCTGTAGTTATATTAATATACTGTTTTGCTCGGGTAGTACAGTGGAGTTAGGCGGTTTATCACGTTGATATTAATATGTTGTATGTAGCGTCACTATGTAAATCCCGGATTTATTTACATGTGTAATTTGTGGTACGCAATTTACTTGCAAAGGGCAATTATAGTAATAGGCATATGTTGTGCATGATAAACGGTTCCGACTCTTTTCTCCGTTAAATCAGAAATCCGCTAAATTGAGTTTTCACAACAAACCCATATAGTACTCCATTATGTCCAATAATGCGATTTTTATTAACAATTCAAAATATATATATCAAGAAAACAAAAATAGCAAAAACTAACGGATTTATGCAGAGAGCTTCTTGTCTTAACAATCTTAACTATGACGATGACAGTGAAGAATTTTTTTATCCCGCTTCTTCACATTACTACAGTTTATGCAAGGAAAATCGATAAATTTGATAAATTTCTCCAGCGTGGCCTGTTTCTTCTTTTCAATGCTTTTGCGTATAATGAGCTTTTTAAGGCTTTGCAGATCTCTCATGCTAATGCCTAAATTGTTTTGCCGTATATATTTTACCACATTATCAAAGTCCGATAATCGCATCATTGGTTTTAACATCCATTTCTCTATCCTCTTCTGATTCACATCCACCCTGCTCGTTCATCACTTCTATGATATCATCTACAGTCACCCTTTCTTCAATACTCATGAAATTATCTATTTCGACAGCTTCTCGTGCTTCCAAAGGATCATCGATTGATAATTGTTCAATGAGATTGACAATCTCCGTTTCTAATTCACTTTCCTCGGGTGTAGAATCAAGATTGTTTGCCGTTGGAGGAAGAATATTAGCCCTATTCCAGCTACGGATAATTGTATTTGCCATAACAATTTTCCATGCACGAGCTGCAAAGTTAATTGCATCATATATAGTAATGACAGAGGGAATTGGATGAATTTGAAACAATTACCGTTCATATGAAAATGATCGGCAAACCGTCACGTAAATAACAAACTTAGGGGGGGTTAGTTTATAGTAATCACAGTAACCTTATTTTTATAATAACGTGCATTATGTAATAAACTGTTAATGAGGGGTACGTTGTGTGGGTAATCGTGGTAATCATGGGGGTAGGTGTGCTTATTATTATTCACGAGAGTATACAGTACTCAGAATTTTAGCGGACCGACTATGAAAAACCACAGTTAAGTCATGACGTTTATAAATCGTTACTCCAATCTGCTCTGATTATACTAGCTTTAGATGCTACTGTACATTAGATGCAAAATCACTTGTCCATTTACGAAAATAGATGCTGAAAATTCATCTGTGAAATAGAATCGGCATATACATAATAGAATTTTATGCAATCACTTTATCTAATACTTACGCGCTCCCTGTTTATTTATTATGGCAAAGTCATATATTAATATAGAAAGTTACACCAGATAACAATGTATAAATAAAAATAATATTTGAACCTACAACGCGTTTTTTGTTTACTTTCATAATTTTTTTTGTTAAAAATGCCTAAACAACTTACTTTGACCCCAAAACGATCAATTGTAGAGAATTTGTGGGATAGTGGAATTCATGATGTATCTCAGCTTCATAATATAACACATGTTCCATCTACTTTATACAAATATATCAAAAAACTTTTAGTAGCAGCTTCCCTGAAACCTAAATCCCGCCCAGGAAAGACCAAAAAAACTTACTGCGGAAAAGCGCATACATCTTGGAAAATTAGCAAGTTCAAGAAAATGTGCTAGCAGTAAAGAAATTGCTCATGTGTTTAACCAAACCTACCCAAACCTTAATATTGCGCCAAGAACAGTCCGTGAAAACCTTTATAACCTCGGCTATCGCGCACCGCCAAGTGAACTTTTTAAAGAAAAATACCCAAAAGTTCTTGATTGGTCTTCTTACTCACCTGACTTAATCAATTGGATTAGATAATTTTTTACTGATTGTCCGACTAGAATGGGATAATATCGATAAATCTATTCTATTAAATTTATGTTTTGGAATGAAAAAGCGTTTAGAGGCTGTTATTGAAAAAGAAGACTTAACGATTGACCATTAAATTTTTATTTTTATAAATTTACATTATTGTTTATGTGCAGATAAAATTTTATGTAAAATGAATACAAATTGGTTGAGTAATAAAAATTTAAAATTCTCATTATTTTCCGCCACTACTGTAAGGGATAAGCGTCAAGCTCTTATACGTATAAATATAAATACCAAGAAATGGAACGCTGAATTGATTGGACAAGGGTTTAAAATAAAGGACATACAAAATCAGACAAGGGTTTAAAGTCTACATCCCAATGTTTGCCAGTGCGGAAATGACAGAAGCTCTTCATCGGGAATTGGCATCTCATGGGTATAAAGGTAAGTATTTTTCTAAACAACTGTCAGAAACAGAGAAAAAAGATATATTTGCCGATATCAATGTGGTAGGGCAAATCTTGACTATTTGATATAATAACTTGTGGAGTAAGTATCACTACTCTAGCTGGTCTAACGAGCAATGAAGCATATCAGATGTTGCACCGCGTTCGAAAATTAAATCAAAATGTAGTACACGTTCTAACGAATTTACGTGGCAATAATTTGCCGACAGACCGTGAAGACTTACTACGCTTTATCAGTTATCGATGTAATGTAACAGAATATCCTGATTTAGAAGAGATAAAACACTTACTCCCAATGGCAAGTGCGATTTATAAACCAAATGCATCTTTAGAAACGATTTTGTAGCTGATCGTCTTAGTGAATGTGGATATACACTTAATATTGCTGAAGATTGCCCTTCTATAGATTCAACGGTTACAGGAGGTAACGAGGGCAAAAAGATATTAAAGAACATACGCACAATTAAAAAAGATTTAGATATAGAAAAATACTCATGGATTGTTAATGCTCGAGCCCTAGATGATTTAGAAGCTTTAGATATTCAAGAAATCGAGGAGGATATAGATTCAGCCTATAGATTTGCTTTGCAGAAATATAATCTTGCGTCCTTTTATAAGAAGATGTAACTGTAGATTTTGTAGAGACATATTTTAAAGAGGAAATGCGAAGCGCGTACGGCACGCTGGTTCAGGCTATGGATTCCTTGGATAACTTGCGTAATAAACATAGACTCGTAATTGAGAATAAAATCCACGAGAAAAAGCTTCTTGTGATTCACTATTGGTAAAAGTTATTGCGCTAGAGGAAATTTTGCGAAGCATAGGTTTTTCTTCGGGCATTCACACATCACATGTTTTATCGCGTCAGGATTTTGATACTAACTTACTAAGCTTTTTACCAACTTATAAGAAAATGTCTGAGTTTTCAATTTCTTCATCTGCAGAATTTCTTATTAAAAACGAATCTGATATAGACACCGTTATCCTTCTTTACAGCAAAAATTCCAAATGTCACGAGAAAAATTGGAACAATGGAGAGACAAGATTGCCTTTGAATTTCGGGATAATACTAATTATTGGAAAAAAGAACGCGAGAGTTTAATTTCGTAAAATATAAGCGGGAATATGAAGCCCACCTTGGTGTTCCTACTACACCATACAAAAAAGAGTTAAATAAACTTTCTTTGATATCTATTGAATACGTATAATGTAATTTAAGATTGTGGTTCAGCGAGTTATTTGTCCAGGTAAATAAGTAAGTGGGTTGTTACTATCCCTTACAATAAATATAAAAAAGCTTCAAATCGAAAAATAATTTTTTAATACTTGAATCACATATAGGGTTTTTGTATTATAGCTTCATTTACGTATGTGTTTTCTCTGCAATAAAACATTATTATTTATAATCTTTAGAACCATTTGCGAATTTTTGATATCTAAAACCCGGTTAAAGCGTTAAAGAACGTGCCGATTACTGTCCCAAATTTTTTCACATAATTTTTTATCGATGTGAAACTCAATCTAGCCAAAAACGTTAAAAAACGTGCCGATTACTGTCCCGTTCACATTAATTTTATATTTTTTATTATTATTATAATACTATCTCTAGACGCAAAGGGTCCTCGCTCCGCGAGTCAAATCTTCGCTATCTCCTTTCATAACATAAAACGAGAAAACAGATACGCTACTCGTAGCAGCAAATAAATAAATAAATTGATATGTCTTGTCAAATAGAAATGGCGTCTTTACAAAGCATACGAGACAGTACAACATTGGGGATTTTTGTCGCCACTTACAATAAGAATAAGAAGACATTCAAATCGAAATAAATTTTTTAGTATCTGGACCATACATTAACATGTTTTTTATGTCATAAAATTTACAACAATTCGCACAGGTAAATATATGGGACAACAGTCTATATAGGTACAGACACATAGTATTTACAAAGTAATTTGCCACTTTACTTTACGAAAAAAGGATCGGCGTAGCCGTGCACTCTGCGCATTCTAGAATATCACATATAATTTTCGGTGGTACGCTGGGACACGTACCGCAGGCTAACTCCGCAAGCTAACTCCTACGCAATCGCAAACTCGTCGTCACTTGGCCAAATAACAAAATTATCACCGCAGGCTAACACCGCAAGTTATCTCTGCAGCAAACCAACCCTGCAATGATAACGCAATCGCAAGCTCATCGTCACTGAGTGGGTATAACCTAACTGAGGTATAACCTAATACTAATGGCTAAATCGAGCTAAATCCGTTATAACCGCCTGAGTGGGTATAGCCTAAACTAAGTGGTTTAATGTAATTATATTAAATCCACTAGTGGTTTGCAAGAATATTAGCATTTTCTATTTGAAGCAGCTCAACCTGGAATTGTCAAGGCCCGGCTGGTTGCTAATGGTGCTTATAGAACAACTCAGAAAACTGTTACACATAACAGTGGTTATTATAAAAATTATCACATCGAAGTCAGACTATACTTTAAGAAAAATATGTGTCAATGTTAGTTTGACGCATTAGCTTGTTTTCCTGACTTCAACAATATTTTGTAAAGAGGTTATATATTTTTCCGCATTGTCCTGTTGTAAAAGAAAGCTACGTACTATTTCCAAGCTAGCGATTGCTGCGCTATCACTATCATCTATGTTGTCTACATCCGTAATTGCTTGATCAGTATCCTTAAAGAGATATACAAGTTCGTGGTCGTTGTCGGGAACTTCATAAATAATATTTTCTTCAGGAATGTCGAGCAACTATTTACGTGGTGTTTATGTCATCTTCGCTTAATTTAGAAAATGTGATTAAAATTTTCACTATTTTAGCAAATATCTTATCTTCCATATTACAGTTTTGTAAGCACGAGTATATTTACTAGTACTAATAAGTAAACTAATGTCATTATTGCATCTTTGTGGCGTTTAATTGGCTGACTTTTTTAATGTCACGTGCATGCACTTATGGAGGGTTCACTTATAGAGGTACCACTGTACTGAATTTAATTTGTTGAAAACCAAAAAAGCAACTGTTTCTGAAATTACCAAAGAAACTAAATCCTTTTCAATCCTAGTACTAACTCCTCTTCCTCCTTTGGATTATGAATATATTTATCATAATATTTGCCCATTCATTAGTAATAAGAGACTTGCTGAGATTATGATACTGATCCTAACATTACAGATACATCAACAATTTGTAGTTATATTGATATAGTGTTTGGAGAGATTCACAATTAAAAGTACATATTAATCATCATCATAATGATGTACACCCTTTATTATGTCTTGAGAAGGAGAGCAAATATTCTAGTAAACCCTTACCTATTGGAGATTTGCCTAACCTGAGAAATGGTTACAATTCAGTTGCAGGTATGAAGACAAGAATTATTATGTGTTGATATCAAATTGAAGTCAGTTTAATTAAATATTATAATTAATATTGTTTATTACCTCATGGACTCAAAAATTTGCAATTTACAGTTTATTTATGTTTTTACATGATATGCTTATGCAACTTATAATTATACTTGTTTGTAATAATAGTGTGTCAATACAATGTACAGTATCTTGATGCGCAGTTTTGAGTGGATTGGAGCACTTATTGCATTTTGGAGTTATCACGTCAATTTTTTTTTGTCAACATCGATTTTAGAACAAAATCATCCTACGAATGTCCATTACAATAGTATAAAAAGTATTGGCTAGTTATTATTATATGACAAAGGTCCTTTTCTATGACAGAATAGTAGAAACTTCTCAAATTAAGTGTTCTAAGCTACATTCTGGGAAAGTACGTAGCGAGCCTTTATGTTGACGTGAAGCAAATGTTTTAATGACTGTTGCAAATTTATATCAATTGTACACTTACACGTCGCAAAATAATTACAATACTAATTTGTGTATTCCAGCCAGAGAAGAGATATACTCAGCATTATGCAGAGAGGTAACTACTTACTCTATTATAGTTAACAGGCCAAATGCCACTAGGTGAAGCGAGGGCACTCTTAGTGATCCAACAAGTGCACGGTGGTACTGAATACGGCCACAGAGTACACACATGCCAACGAGAAGAACTCTTATTCATATACTGAAGTGAGATAGAAACAAAATCATTTAGAACGAAATATTTAGAAAAGTCACTGACATAACTGATTCGTGAGTGAAATAGATAACAGTCAAAATCGAAATTAACTTGACAAACCGAAAAGTTGCTTGTTGGCCAATAACTGTATTACTCGAGCAAATAGCAAATTAATTGGATTGTTTAATTTCTTTTGGGGAGTCATTCTTTTTTGCCTGAATACTTTCCAAACCCTGATGTAACTTTTTACAAGCTCGATTATTTCCTTTGCCGCGTCAATCCCCCACAAAATTTTGATCAACCTTCTAGTCCCAAAAGAATAAAGCTTGTTTGCCATCACTTTCAGTTTGTCTCACGAGACAAAACAACTTTCTTTCCGTATAGCACAATTCCCACACATGGGTATTGCACGGTTTCAAAGATCAGATCAAACAATGTTATTGACAGGAGTCGAAATAACGTTATCCGACTGATTACATTACTTAAACAATTGCGAGATCAAAATAAATTATTTTTATGTGTTGGCTGCTAGCTATAATTCTTTCTATTTCTTCCACATGCTAAGTTAAAAGTCGGGGAATTTAAGAACGGCTCCCACTTCGCACACCGCGCATCTGACAGTTATCTCTCACAGTACGTCACACCCTTTCTTCCTGTACGCACCCCCGAGCGAGTTAATAGCGAAGTCTCTCTACATCAGCACTCAACACTAAACTGGAATGGAAAATCTCTTAACGGAAACAAGATTAAGCGAAAACTCGGCTTATGTGGGACACAACAACGACATTGTTATCGTGGCAAAGCAATGACCCTACACTATCATGATGTCAGATCCCGGGAACAGATTCACAGAATCCAAGCCAGGAAGGTGTCTATTCTGGTAGAAATTAAAAATGACAAGTGATGTGAACCAGGGGAGCCGTGAGAGGCGATCGTGGATTGTGGTTAGGAAAAGAGAATGGTTGGGGGTATTTTTATATATGATGCGTGATTATTGAGAACAAATCGTGTGAAGAAGTTTGGAGGACGGATGGGAAATTCGAAAATCGATCTTCCCACAGAGAGTCATGTGGAAACAATAAAACATGTCTTTTTTAGCATTCAGACATGGCATCAAGTGAAGGGCCCGAGTTCAGGACTGTGTTTCAAAGATTATGGGAGAGAAGGACAGTAGAGAAGGGGGAAGAGGGGGAAGAGGGAGAAGAGGGAGAAGAGGGAGATGGGAGAAAAGGAGGTAATAGCATTTTCTTGAACGCTTTTGGTAATGAAGCCGAGTAATCTCGCAGATTTTAATCCAGATAATGGGTTCGACCACCACATAGAGAGATGGGGGGGGCCCTTGTCATTTAATGTGATATTTATAAAGTTGGGCGGATCAACAATTCTGATCGACCAAAAAAGATGATGGTCTATCACTCACTCGCCTTACAAGAATCCTATTATGACAATTGGTCACTGCAAGTATTATATTTCTTTCATCATCAAATGTCAAATCAGCCACATTGATATATGTCTTTAACCTCATTAACCCTTCTTGTTCAACAAATATAAACAATCAAAAGAACAATTATATCAATCACATGCGTATTACGCTAATATTGAGAAAGGACACCATATTTAGACATTGGAACCGTTGGAGAGATCTATAATGACTAATACTAATAGGAATATTGAAGGCGGCAAAGGCATATGCCGGCGATTGACATTATTTGCCAAAACAATAATGCAGCACAATGGATATAACCTACATGAGCCGAGAAACATCAAATTAATACAATCACATGCAAGTCTCTTTGAAGCGTAGCAGCCACCACGCTGTTCAGTGATCCCGTTTGTTTCGCCAATGTCTGTTTTTATGTCGAACTATACTGCATTTGCCATTCTTTCTATTCAGTGGCTTTGCCAGCATGGCGTCATTACCAGATATAGATTACGTATGCTGCGGTATCAATTGGGGAGGGGGGGAGAAAGAAGCAAAAGCATTGGGGGCATTTATAATATCGATTGGGTTAATAGACGCTATGTTCGTAAATGATCAACACGCATATATATATGCGACTTTAATATGTTGAGTAAATGTGGATAGATTGGCTTTTTTATTTTATTCCCTCCAAGACAACAAAAACCGGTTTGATCTGTATGTGTGACATGAGTTTGATAACGTTCTTCGTTCGACGACGGGAGAAAAAAAAAAAGAAAAAAAGACAGGTTACGTCATAAGTCGGCTCCCTGTGCGTTTGTTTACTGTGCTTATCTCCAATTGAAGTGACCCTTATTGAAGTTAGCACATGGACGTTTTGACATGACATTGACAATGGAAGCGATTGTGAGATTGTAAGGTACGATGTGCAAGACATTGATTACTAAACTAACTATTATGTGGTGTATAATAGCGGTAAGGGGACAGACAATAGAGCATGCTCTTTTTGTAATGATCGATCGAAAAGGTTTGCAAATGCCCGTTAAAAAGCTTATATCAAAGGGATCATAGTAATTAGAGTATACACAGTGTACACAGTATACACAGTATACACAGTACACAGTATACACAGTACACAGTACACAGTATACACACTCGTCTCTATCAAAATTCTTTTCCCCATCATGAATCATGTGACCAAATAAAATCTTTACAATCTTTACGCATGATTATCAAGTGAATTTGTTGAGAGACATTCCAATACAAAAATATGCTCATAATTAATATTACATGCTATGCTATTACTATCTACACACTCAGCCCAGCCAAACAAAGAGTGAAAAAGCATAGTATATATATAATACGAACATCAGTAAATGTTATGTTGAATTGGTTTTTACGTATCACATAATTACCATTATTAGTTGTTGTTTGTATCTTAATATCTGTATATATCACATACAGTATGTACAATAATTATTTATATTATATTTTATTGATTGATGTGTATCGACGATGTGATGTGTGTATTTTTATCGACTGTGTATCGATATGTGTTGATATGTGTATCGATATGTGTTGATATGTGTATTGATATGATGTATTTATCGACTGTGTATTGATATATTTATCGACTGTGTTGATGTGTATATTGATATGTGTGTTGATGTGTATCGATATGTATATTGATAGCTTTTTTTGCCCTGTTCTCCATCTACCCGTCATATCTACCCGACCATCTGTTTGCTGTCTCTCAACAACATAATTTATATACATGCACATATACATGTATTTTATTTATTTGTTTATTTGTAATATGCGTAGTAAATTATATTATTGATCGCCTATTGTAAATGCTTGCTATATTTATAGACAAGTACTTTTCTCAATTATCACTGCATTCACATTTCCACGCGCAACTGAACTAGAATGTGATAATAACTGCAAATATTTCCATTATATAATACATGGTCGTCACAACAACCCATCATCATTTACGCTGATAAGATAGCCAGGTTTTTTATCATCATCAGACTATACAACTAACTATACAACATCAACACAACACAGCACCACTCGGCACAACAACACAACCCCAACTATTTTAACCCAAAAAGCTATTTCGTCAAATCACTACTTATATCAACTATGTTTAACACTACGACAACTGCCTTCTATCATCCAACCGATGGTCAAAAGAGTTACTTTAACAACTTTAGCACATCAATATCTTCTTCACTGCTGCACTCCTCTCTCGTCCTACTTCCACTAAGTAAGATATTTGGGAGTAACTCTACTAGTGTGACAAAACCCTCTAACAACGCTAGCGACTCTACCAACAACTCCGAAATACCTCCAGCACAGCCAACAGAAGAACAAACTACCACCGAACCTATAATAACGTCCATACCGTCCACTCAATCTTCCCCATCCCAACCTCAAAAGCGTTCTTCTCGTCGCACTCAACGTCACTCTTTCCCCTCTTCGCTATCTATTTCTGCCGCTATCTCTTCAAGCATGGGCAATATTCTTCCTTCTACATCAAATAACGTCATTACACCTTCAACAACCCTGAATCAATACTCCCATGCAATGAGAAAGAAGAAACCGGCAAACAAATTGAACAGAAAGAAGATCGATTCAGCAATTACCTTGTCTGCTATTGCTGTCGAAGAGGACAGTCAGGGAAATTATAAATGTGCTACCGACTTGTATCTATCTGCTTTGGAGGATATGTTGTATGCTCTACCAGGTAACTATGGATAAAAGAATATGGAATCGTTAATAGACTATATTTGATCAAAATATCTCCCGCTTGAGCCTAGTGATCTCGTTATCCGCAACCTGCCAAATACCCTTTATCCGATCTAACTCTTTCTCTCTCTTTTCTGATACGCAGTCCAAGCCGACCCGGTCCGCCAAGAAGCGCTGCGCAAAAAGCTGTTGGCCTTCCTTTCAGACACGGGCATGTCAGACGAATTCGCTCTACCGTCAACGCCTCCCAAACACGGCCGCTCCAACTCTGATCCCACCCATCTCTCTCTCCACTCTTCTTCATCATCGTCGACAACAACAGCTACTACTCGATCCAGAGTTTCTGATCAAATAATCAATGCGGCAATCAATGGTGCCGTCGCTCTCAAACAGTCTCCTATTCCCGATGCCATTTCGGCTACTGTCAATTACACAATGAAGAAGATCAAAAACATTGACGAAACCTATGGGTTACAGGAGAAAGCATGGGAGATTAGCAGATCGGGGATTAATCTCGCGTTGGAGATAGATCAACAGTATAACGTTCATGAAAAGGTTGGCAATGCATTATTTACAGGAATAGCTGCTGCTATGAAGGCAGGCATCGCATACAAGGATTCTCCCGGATATAAAGAGGTGAAGAGGATGAGAATGGAGTATTGTAACGGCAAGGAAAGAATTATCGAGCAGAATGGTACGACAAAGGATCTCTGCGATTAAAAAGTGGTGGACGCAAATGATGTCGGCGGACAAGACAGACATGAGCGTTAGATAGCAACGAAAAAAGGAGATATATATCATATTTATATCGACGATTCTTTTCGACTATCAGTAGACCGTTCTCTTTACTGAATTGACCTGTGACTGGCTTAGTTCTGTCCATCATCTTTTTTTTTTTATGGGCTTGTGATTGCTCGCTTGGTTGCTTATTTGTTGTTTTTGTATTTGTTTGTTGTTTGTTTTGTAACTTCGTTCCTGAACACTCTTATTTCTCTTACTATAATGAACAATTTCTTCGAGATTTCTGTTGGGGGGTTTTTTATGTGTACTTGTGTCGGAAAAAAGGAAAAAAGGAAAAAAGGAAAAAAAGAAAAGAATTTCGGGTTTCAAAATGGTTTTTAGAATATAAAAAAATTGCTCTTTTTAATCTACAATAATTCTTCTCTGTACATAGATTTGATACAACTGTTCGTTATATAAAAATGAGAGAGAAAAAAAAAATAATAAAACTAAAATTTCTTTCGCATATTCGTGGATTTTTTTTGTTCGTGAAAAGAAGACGCAAATGACTTGCCCACGTGTGTGATTATCGGATGGGGTTTCTATAGTTTTCTTCTATATTTGGTCATTTTTAATCCCGCTCAGCGCCACAGTTTTCACGATGTTAATATTAATATTAATATTAATGCATGGCCCTAATTGATTTTCATGAAAAAAGGTTTCAAATAAAGGGGGTTGACCAATCGTAAAGTGTTTATGTGCGTAGTGACTCGCATCTACCAATCGGGTTCCATGCATATTAAAGTATAAATTAATCGCAAGATTGATTGGGGGAAATTTCACTGCTTTTCCCCCGATGGTCATTTGGAAAAAAAATTTTTTTTTTTCGGAAGAAACTTTTCATCTCCCTTTACACGATCTTTGTATACTTGCCGTATATATTATACATACTCCCATTTCTCTGTGGATGAAAGGCGCGGGATGTAACAGTTATACAGTGCACTGCAGCAAACTGTAACCGATTAGAGAATGTTGATATTAACTGAGAACATGAATAAGGTTTCAACTTAAATTTTTTTCAGTACGAGTTTCTTTCTCACTGATGTGAGCCGTCGATATAATAATAAACAGAATTAATCGGAAATGGTATTTTTTACACAGTATACAATATCTCTCATTTAGAGTAGGGAAGTACTACGCCGAAAGGCGATCCAGACTTAATGCAGCTCTTGAAGAAAAAAAAAAAACCTCACCAGTCTATACGTCCGATTAATGGCTTTAGTATTACCTTACGATAAAGAGTTTTCAGTGGATCTGAATGACAGTTCAGTGTAAAATAAGGGGTCGAATTGATAATATTGACTAATATACTGCTTTTTAAGATTGCTGGTGCAATAGAGCAGCAGTACTTTATAAAATGCATGAACGATAAATGCACAACGGAAGCCTTACAGCATTTATGATCCATGTTAAGATATAAGAATGTGAACATCAAGTTAATGGTTACATCTGTTCTGATGTGTAATGATAAGTATTCCAAAATAGAATTTACTCGCGCAAACGTAGTGGCTTTCGGGTTGATCTGTTCAGTAAATAACTATCTTTACAATAGTAATTGGTGCTGGTTTTATACACCAGTTATACTCTGCAATTAGGGTTGGAAGGGTCGTCACATTACACATGTTATTACTTACCATTTAGCAAATTCATATCTGGGTTTCTTATGCTCAAGTAAACCTTTCTCCTTTCTAATATGCTATGAGAATTACTGTATAAAATATTGGTTATCATGTGATTTACAAATTAATTCAAGTGCTTGAGCTCCATTTCAGTTTATAATGTCTAAAAAGATGAGATTGATAGCAATAAGACTAAAGTCTAATTGAAATTGCAAGAAGCGGATATAAATTAAATAAGGGGTTAAATAAGTCATATTCATACAAAATTGGTATCTAAAATTTAGCAGACACAATGATTATATGAGGGGTTAAATAATACATTCAAGTAAAACGCATATTGCTTCTATGTCTACATATCATTAATTATATATGCGCATTTAAAGAGCTTATAGTTGCAAGTTGATAGTAATAGCAACGGGGGGTTATTGCTGAAAGAGTTGCTCCTCCGAGCATTCCTGCGCCCAACGCATAACAACCACATTTGGATTTCTGTGTCAAACTACTTATGACGGATACTTTATAGTGTCAGTAGTTTCGCTAGTACTAGCTAACATCATCTTCAGCATGTTCATCTTTATCTTATTGGACTTCAATTGTCGCCGTAAACGCGGGTTCCGAAATCACTGGTAAAATTGATCTTGTCCCATCAGTTCTCGTAATTGGCAAACACGATTGTTAATTATGACTAGTATACACGTATGCTTTGATGTAATTCAATCACCAATTGATTTAGGGTAGAGGCATAGCCATATAGCAATGGCGTAGTTGGCGTAGTTGAAATTATTTATGAATGCTTTACACTTTCTAGAATTGGGTTGTTACTGCACCAAGGTGCCAACAGAGTTTGTGAATTGCAAGAAACCTTTCAACCTAATACTATAAGACTGAACATTAACTTTGCAGCAGAAAATTGTAACTAGAGTAAAGTATAAGTGTCACTGCCGGACTAATTATTAATGTAATCTTTATTATTATTATTATTATTATTATTATTGGTTTGATGTGATACAAGCCGAATAAGAGTGAACTTTTTATAACAAAACGATGCATTCCCATAACATGCGCAACGCAGTTGGTCGCCGTGGATTACGATTTCAACAGTGACACAATATGCATGTCGAGTCGCTGCTACGTGTAGTCATATTTTGTTACCATAATTAAAAGGTTTGTCTCAATTGTCCATTTTACAACTGCCCACCAACAGTAGCATTGATTGCATGATCGTCATGGTTGTAATTGCGAAAGACATGTCATATAGTAAATTGTTTCCAAAGTAATTGTGCCGTTATCGCTCGTCATACGCCGAATCAAGCAAGTAAGAGCAAAGCATGTGCTAAATCATACTCCTTTCAGTATTAGTATATGCTGTGAATTACTAACCTATTTATTCTCGGGCAATAATTTCGACATATTAATATGCGATTCATTGTTTATTTAAATACTGTTGATATTATTACGAGCTTATCCTCTCTTTTTTTTTTCCAAGCAATTATCAATCGCTACATAAAGTATACGAATTTTATGAATCCCCCCCAAAAGTTTCTGGGACGAGTGTACAAATTGCTTGTGGTCATTGTAGCGACGCGAAAGATCTTCCTCGAGATGGAAATTTGCTGATTGGCTCTTACAGCTTGGGAACTCACAAACAGATGTAAATGTCACGTTATTTTGGGAGAATGTTGGAAAGTGAATTTTCGACAGTTGAGAATGGCTTCATCTGGCAATGAAAACTCAATTTCTACGCGTGAAAGCACGGAAACCAATGCCGACTTTTCCGAAGCAAAGGGGAAACGAATTGTATACCAATCCCATATATCACCATGTTCTTGTATACAGTATCGCCAAAGCTTGTTTACTAAAAGTAGCATTTTGCCGTTACAGAAATTGAATGATCCGGCCACTTTGGCTTTCCCCCCATTATCGATTGGTTTAGGTAAAGTTCCAATCGAAGAAGCAATGCCAATCCTCTGCAAGGTGGGCCCCTGCAGCTGATTATCGATCATTCACCCATGACACTGCATAATTAAACGATCTTGTTGTCATCCATAACAGGTAATCAAAGAATTTATCGACAGTCATAAGGACCAACGTTACTTTCTTGTTCTCGTCGAAGAGGATCACGAGATTTTAGAATACTTTAGACAGGAAAGTGGAAATTTATGGATTCAATCCCGAATGACTGATGTGGCATAAATGTGTACCTGATATTAACATGGTTTTTATCCGGGTTCTAGCATTGCGAGCTGACCAAAGATAAACGACTACTTCTCAGGAAAGATGTGATTGATGAAGACGATGATCGAAAATGCAGGTGAGTGGACAGGCAATATTTTGGCCTGCGGCGATCGTTTGAGAATGATCAGGCTGTATTTCATGTTTAGCAGGTATATTGCGTGCGAGACTACCTGGAGGCTGAAACCTGGTGAGCAGAGCATACGGTTTCGTACGTTTTCTACTACCTTGGGCATTTGTATTTACTCTGTATCCATGCTCGCAAAGATGTAACGCCTTTCAGCAAAAAGGTGTACAAAGCCGCAGGATCTGACCTTGCTAAGAGAATAAAGGAGGCTTATCCCCAGCCTGGCGCAGTAAGTCACCATTAATATAATTTATACTTTTGCTGGTAAAGGCTCACGATCCAATTTACCAACCAGCTCGGCGAGGCCTATCCAGTTTCGCTTCCGCCAGAGAGTAATATCCGCATAAACAAAGGCGTCGAACAGATAATCTATATCGTCGCTCCAAACATGAACCCGGCACGATCTGACCACCTCCCGCTCGATGAAGCAAAAAAATCTCTGACGAAATCCTACCAGTCGATGTTGAACGCATTTTGGTCTGTCGCTAATGACAATAAATATTCACCATCGAATTCGCTTGATACGGAAGATAATGAAAAGAAGAAGAAAGCAGCGGGTATTCTTTTCACAACCTTTTGCGTTCTTTGTAAAAATCTGTTCATCTCGGCAAATCTATTCATGCTCGAGATTTCTTTCTCAGTCGATATTCTAACGCCAGCCGCAAAAAGTCCAGAAATACATCTGCCTCGTCACGAAAGATCTTTGTACAATAACGATTGGTCGAGGGTTCTTTGGGAGTATTGTTCAAACCCCGAAGCATTTCCCTCAGACATAGTATACCATTACGATGACGACATTGTTGTTACATGGGACAAATTCCCAAAAGCACAAAAGCACTTGTTAGTGATGCCACGTCGAAAGATCGAGTACATCGATGATCTGAAGAGAGGTGATATTGGTACAATTGAACTATTGAAAAAGAAGGGACAGTGGGTAATAGACAGGTAAGGGCATTTGAACGGTTCAAACAAGAAATGGGCATTCTTTATTTAGTAAATACAAACAATCGGAGCAGGCTTAAAGAAGAAAACGCAAAACTTGATTTTCGTATGGGATTTCACGCCATGCCTAGTATGAGGTAAAGATTAACATTCTTGGAGTAATCCGTAATTACTTGTCACGAATGTTAACAAGCGTTATTTCCACATAGACAACTGCACATGCACGTAATATCTCAAGATTTTGTTGCACCGGCACTCAAAAACAAAAGGCATTGGAATTCGTTCACAACATTTTTCTTTATTCCAGTTGACAATCTTTTAGACGTGCTCAGAGGGAAAGGCGAAGTAACGGTAATTTCTGTTAGACAATAAGTAGAGTGATAAGGTTATATTCCTTTGCTCACATTTCGTGGCGTTTTTTTTTTATAGATCGATAATGAATACTATGGCCGGCTGCTTAAAAGTCGCTTAAGGTGTCACCGATGTGAGAAAGAGTTTAGGACGATGCCAACGCTGAAAGATCATCTTCGACAACATTGGGAATAAAGCTAGTAACTGACCGTTACCATCCATTACACGATAGAAACGACGAAAAAAGTGCCAAGTAACTTATTTATTGAGCAGTCCATCATTTCAACTCTTTTGAATATACGTCTTGTCAATGAACTCCTCCGGATCGTGCACATGCGCGTTACTAACCTGCTAGATTTTTTTGGAGACGAGAGCAAAATCTCTCTGGCAAATAGTCAAACTGTTTACTAGCGTTTATCGCAGGTAAATACTCTTGGCCGCTTTTCCGAATTTCTATACTAAGTGTTTCATTAGGATCTTGTACGATTTCTCCGAATTAAGAACATTATTAATATGCTCACTTATTGCTTTCATGTCGAAATGCGAATAAAACACCTTACGCAACTAAGATAATAAATCCCCATCTACATTGATCGGGATGCAGGACCGTGACTCTGGCGTCGATACGTTTTTGGAGCTCATGATTTGAATCGAGGTGTAGTTTCATGTCATTATTTGCAAATTTAGTATGTGGGAAACGCTCATATTACTAAGGTATAAACTCACACTCGTATTAGTATGTTCTGCTAAAGTGTTTAAATAAACAAGGTATTGAACCGTTAATTAAAAATTATTCGTTTCTGTCTGGTCTGATACTACAGCGTCTGCTTAATATAATTATGATTAGATGTTACTATAACTTCTATAGGCTGGCTTATCCGGCTTATTTCAGCCTCTGCAAGCAATGGAAAGATGGAGCAATAATTCGTATACTAATTAGAAATGCAATTAATTCGACGCGTCCGTTTTAAGTTCCATGTTTTCGTGTAACATAAAAGAGTTTTTAAGTGGGTATGTGTTACCGGGAGAGACCAATTTTCATAATCTGTCAATAGCCACATGGTTGCCATACAATGAATCGACGGCTAATGGTTGGTGACGTTGAATAAAATGTACTGTAAGTTGTCGTACTTGGTGACGCAATCAGCACAATTTGCCTCTCGACAACAAAAAGCGTCTTGGCCTTTTATCCCGCAGCAGCCGATAAGACAAGGGCCATAGTGGCAATTATTGCCAGTAGATGAACATTGCCAAATATCACTGTATCCAAGTTTGTAAAAACGCTTTCCGACGCACTCTGCATTTGAATGAGAATGTTAACAAATTGAATACTGAATGTCTTAAATACAGATCAAAATAATAGAATTATCCACCAAAAAGTGACTGCAGTTGCAATTTTACTAAGAGGCAAAAGGGGTGATTTGAATTTGTCTAAATTGTTGCTTGTTCTTGTATTGAGTGCATGAGAATTGCAGACAAGGCCCTAGCATTATCGTAGCAATTTCCATAGTTCTCAATAAATTTAAGATCTAATTTTTAAATTAGTCTCGTCGATAATTGAAATAACAGAAAATTGGTTGAATAACAAGGCCTGTTGTATTATAAAACCGAGGTTTATGTATTTCCGCACTGCATGCTTTGTGCCTTTTTATACGCTGGTGGATATCTATAGTTTGATCTGTAAGTGATCTTGACTCACTTACCCATCTGAAAGCCGCAGACCATACTATCGTCTGAGAGTGAAGGACATTCGCAGGCAATGTCAACTGGGCAGGTGCAGTTTGGAGATTCAGAGCAAGCGGCATAGGCAATCGATATAATAAACATTAAGAAACCCAGTATTAAAATACACGCATATATACGGTTCATCTTATCGATAAAATGTTTGACAGGGGAGAAGAGAGAGTAAGAGAAGGAAAGAGAGGAAGAGAAGGAGAGATAGAACTGTATTACAGTGAATCAGGTTGAGAAATAGTTGTAAACTGTGAATATTTAATTGATTTTCAGTAGATATGATATCTTTCTTTGTTGTTACGAATATGGAAATAAATTGAACGAGTCAAATATATCATTATTATGGATTAAGTTATTTAATTTGCTTGTGACATTATACCGTTGTTTAATTAACCGAAGTAACACAAACAAGAGAAACTTCTAACATTCGTTTTATAATAGCGGTTTACCGAGAGAGTCAGGTTTGTTCTCTCTAAAATCCGATCTGACATTAGTAATACAACATATACCAATGTGTTGTTCTCAATGGCTAATCCATTTTTATTAGTCAACGCTATATGAAGAGTAGCCGCTCATAAACGCATTGGCGTTTTGATCTGATCTAGTCAGAACGCAGCGCTTGGAACGGACTTGCCAGACATTTGTGATTGTGTATTAAATTTATTCATTTATCATTCACACAATTATAATTACGTAAAGACCAGAACACTAGTGGTAACTTTGCGTTCGATTAATAAGTCACGGTAGATAGTTATTTATATCAATAATGTTCGATAATGAAACATAGTGAGATGAATAATCAAAATCCATAAGGTTAGGAATCTAACTAGCCTAGCGCGTAGAAGCCTACCTGATCCACAAAGTTAATATTATAGTATAACAAATTAGTAAATTATAAAATCGTACTCTTATAATGATGAGGCAGGTTCCATAGTGGGGCAATCATAAAGTGCGAGTAGACGAGATATTGTACGTAGACTTGCAAGAGAACAAAGCGATCCCTTTAAGGCAGTAACGGACAACGAATTGTGGATAGCTTTAATGTTGGTGATATTGCATTCCTAAAGATTGTATATAAACTGGGAGGAATTCTGGGTGTAACTGTTTCATGATCGGAAGCGGTTATAGGCGAGAGATAATTATGCAGGGCTAAGAAGTGAACAGTTGTCACTCTTCTACTAGAAGATGAATGATGCACAGTTTTACATACGTTTTGTATAAGACGATCCGAGTTAAAGTGGGAAAGGCTGAAGAAAAGAAAAGACGTAGGCTTACTTGATATTGTTTGGTACAATCAAACAACTGTGTTTTCTGGTTCAGGAAACAAACTATCGTAAATTACTTTATACGTAATAGCTTCTAATATTCTTTATTGCAAGATCGTGTTACCAAATCTCCACATCAAACACGATCAACTCCTGGATGATTTATGCTCCGCAATATTTTTAGATAAATAATATTAAATTTTTTTGGTTGGCTGGCAGCGTGTCTGGTCATGCCCGTATATTGATTTGTGATCTACATATTGCATTTCCGACAGTCACGGGATTACTGGAAGTCTCGAACGCGTACTATTTATAGTATACTAACTATTTATGTATTACGATTACGTGCAATTATTTCTAAGTACATTTTTTTTTCTGATGCAATTTACAACAAATAAATATTTTCAATCACATGTACTCTCCAGTAATCTGTCATATGGATAACCGTTACATTATGATGATGATGAGGACGGTGACAAAACTTCTGATGCTGACGATGAGACGGAATCGGCAACAGATTCGTCAGAAGAAGAAGACTCTTCGCTATCTTTTTCACTCCCACGCTGCTCTTGTTCTTCCAATGAAATATCTACTTCACTAGACATGATATCCTTTAACACTCGATTACTATCTCTTTCCTCTTCCTCGTCATCTGTGGATGAGTCCGTTTCATCTTCATCTTCTTCCATCTGCTTAATAGAATTTGAAGTAAGTATTAGTATCCCTTGTTAGACTGGTGTTACCTGCCCCTCCCCCTTTTGACGCTAAAAGTTTTATTTCAAAGCTATAGCAAATGTATGCACCCAGAAGGGATAACATACACGTGATTAAGACATTAACAAAATTTTGTATATTTTTTTACTAATCAATACTATGCCAACGGTCCCCTGTTAAATAAAAATTGACGTATTACGAATATATCAAGACAAATATTATAGCGAACAAACGTTTCTATGTAAATCAATGCATGTTTAGAGAAAATCCGCATCCTCCATTTCATCCTCTTCATCTTCAACCCCCTCATCATCCTCATCCTCATCATCTTCACCTACTTCATCGTTTTCATCTTCGACTCCCTCTTCATCCTCTTCATCTTCAGTTTCCCTATATACATCGACTTCATCTTCACTTTCCATATATACTTCGACTTCATTGCTAGTGTCTTCAATGACGTTATGCAACGAACTTCGTAATGAAATTTGCTGCATTGCTAGATCGAGGCGTCCGTAGAAATTCAATAATCTTGGAAATATTGATAAACGTTTGTCCAATAATTGATAGAAGATAGACAATTTGCGCGTTAGATCCGGGACCTACCAAGAAAAATCACGTAAGCTGGTAAATATCGATTCGTAGCCAACTCATCGTTTCTTAGAATTCATTATGGTATCACTTACTGTCATTAAATAAGCGCTATGAATGGTTAATGTAACTCTAATCCACTCTAATAAATCTAACCCTATACTCGGATTAGACTGAAACCTCTCAACGATCTTCTCCAAAAACTTCACAACAAATTGCGAGGGTAATTTTATCACTGTATTCCGTATTATATCTCGATCATTATGTTCTAGACATAGTTTGAGCAGCTCATTGTCATTAGAGTGCAATGCTTGAATTAATATGGTTTGCAATGAATCTGCATTAGCCATAACATATTTCTCTTTTAAAGGTGTGTCATTATCCGAATATTCAGAATGTCTTCCGTTGGGTAGTTTTAGTTTATCGGCCGGCGTTTCATTGACTATCGCACTAAGACTCTAATAAATAGTATACAATGCAACAAGACGAAATTAGACAACCGTCGTTGCAGGTTGCAGTAACGACAATAACCATTATAATCATACAATGACATTACTACTAGTAATACTTGCATTATTTTGCCCATTCGGCATCTTCGCTCTTCCCTCGTCTCCGCCCGCATATTCACTATTGCGTCGTTCTGCCACATCATCTTTATCCATTCTTGTATCTTTCTCGATCAACAAGAATTCTGGCCTTTCAGCGTCTACATTTTCTAATATCTTCACTCTTGATTCATCATACTGTTTATGAGTTGCTTTCTATTTGATATAAACTCCAATGTCAATTATCAAATATAAGATCCATTCAGCAGCATATCCCCATTTCATAAGTATTTACCAAATTCATAGCAGCTATACTCGACTCATCCATGGGGATAACGGGTTGGTGTAGTCTACTTAGTATTACTTCTGGAATAAGACATCTAGTTTGCTTGTCGACAATACGCTTGTAGAGGGAAGAAAAAAGAGTTGTCGTTGTTAACATATAACATAAATAAATAAGCAGGAATATCAAGTTACATGGACTTATACATACTACTGCCTCAATTATCGGCTTTGTCGGATGTCCTCTGACGATCATTACTTTGCTGGCCATTTTGTTATTAGCTTCATCCGTAGAACTGGCGGCTAAAATGGGTATTAAGCTATTATCTTTTTCGTTCAACACCTTTACGACACAACTAGCAGCCCTATTCACATTTTTCCTTTTTTTTTTTCTGGGTGGTGTCTCGGCAGACGAAAGCGTAGATGATGCAACATTGTCGAATATATTTAATATTCCATCTTCCGATACAGCGAGCACTGTGCTAGAAGGCGAGATAGATACGTTATGTAGATCTGCATCCAAAGAAAGCACTGTTTAAATAATAGAACGGTCAACAGTAAGTAAACATGAAAGCATGCGACATTGGTATAGTACTCGTCTGTTCAGTATACTCAACATTATTAATCATCTAATGTTTGCTACATTCTTACCAGACAGACACTCTCCTCCTTCTCTCTCTCCCTTACAATCCCATACATTTATCATTCGATCATTCTCAGCAGCAGATATACATACGTCATCTGATACTGAGAACATGAGATCTGTAATATATTTATCATGTCCAGAGAATGTTCTTATTATTTTTTTTGTTTTCGAATCCCACATTTGAATTTTAGAGCCAGCGGACAAGAGCTTTTTTCCATCATATGACAATGCCAGTCTCCTTGTAGACTTCAGGCCTGATTTCCAGGTGCTGAATAAATTCGTAGAAAATCATCAGCGATAATAGAAAGATCGGAATCAACTGAAATTGAATAAATTGCGCATAAAGGGGATATTGGAATGTCTGTCTTTCATAGAAATAACTGAATAGAAACAAAAAACATACATAGAGACACTATCGATAAAAGAAATTTACTTCAAATGCGTTCAATTTACCTAATCTCACGCCCATCTGCAATGTCCCATTCAATTATTGTCAAATCATCACAGGAATATCCGTATTTGCCGCTTCTGTCGAATACGAAATCATTCACAGCTGTCTTGTGTGATCCTTTCATTCGTTTTATAACTGCTCCTTCGGAAACGGAATACAACAATATCGATCCATCTTGTAAACCCAGTGAAATAACTTTGGTATGCAATTTAGACAGCGACGAAGACCGTGACTTCTTCCGCGGCGGAGGATCGGTCTGTAAAAACCATATATACATGAATGAACGACTTTACGTGGCCAACATGGACACCCGCCAGTCACTGCAAGAAACACCGATTGCTTGCAATTAAGACAACTTACTGCATTTCCGTTTACACCTTTGGGCTGTTGTATTTGGCCCCACGACATACAAGTAAATCGCTCTTGTTTCTCAGAGGTATAACTTTTCTTAACAGTATTATTACGTGCATCGAATATCCGAAGTTGGTTGCTATCTACAGCCTGAGTTACAATGGCAAAATACTCCGCGTCTACCGAGTCAAAGCTAGAAAACAACACCTGAGACAGTACTAAACCGCCCGTTGTTTGAGGTGTAGTGTCGATCTTGCGTCTATGCGAATGTTTACCCATTACATAAAAGATGCAAAACGAAAAGTATAAAAAATCGCGGATGAAAAAATTTTCAGGTTTAACGGAAAATTTATGGCACGTGGGCCAGGGAAATTTTTTCGTTTTTGCATCACCATCCATCGAAAATTTTTACAACTATTATTATGAGTGAGAAAGCTTCTTTTTTTTTTTTTTCTTTGGCTTTGGAACTAGTCCATTGGACACCACATTAAGATGATTATGTTTAAACTCTGATTGCTGGTTTTTGAGAATAATTGATATTAATATTAATATTAATATTAATATAGGTAACAGCTAGTTCAGCTTCTTAGTGATTCCAGTTCATGTGCTGCGTCATTGACATTTCGGCCTTGATCTATAGTAATAGCCAAGAAGCCTGTCATTTTGGCTGAGGTGAGATATAGCAAACTGTTTTGGGATATTCCTAATCACTTTGCGCAGCACACAATAACAACATTCTGGAATTTATCCGAAATGTTACACATATTAATATCCGAAATATTGATGCGTTACAACTGTTGGAAAAATCTAAGGTAAAGGTCTTAATGAATTAGGGTGAAAGTTTCAGTGAGGCCGCATCTCGGGGCATGTAAAACCTTGCGTGGTTACGACTGCCAAGCGTGATATTCGAAGTTATCGTATACAAGACCGATCTAGCATCATGAATATTTTGAAAACCAGTTAAGGTCACTAATTGTCTTTTAAAGATTTACCGATAGTGGGAGCTTACGCTAGTTTGCACCAATAACATTTTAAAAAAACTATATGAGTGGACTCTCCCTAAGTGCAGCACTGACGGGACCAGATGGCCAAATCAGACACGACCTGCATTTATAGAGAATCTGCATTTATAGAGTGAAATACTTAATGGTCTTATAATCTCGGGACCAAACCAGAGCCTGCATTTAGGGAGGGAAAATATAGTGCCTGCACTTAGAGAAGCCGCACTTAGGGAGAGTCCATATAGATGGAAATAGTCTTGTTGGTGACCTCAAAAAAGCTATTAGCGTTAGTATTAGGAAGTTATTGACGATTAGCTGGACTAATATATCAATTATTATGTAATAAAGTTAGGGTGTCCGATACTTTTGTCCAGGTAATGTTAGAGGAAAGACTTCGTTAGAACCTGGACCAACACTTCTTTGCATTGCAGGCTTTGACGTTATCGTGGACAGTGAATATCGACCATGCGATCCTCAAAGACCTTACAGCACTTGAAAATGATGGAGCGGTACTAAACTCATGAACAACATTATCCTAGGAACAATGTCTCATTCAGGGAGATGTTGCAGACGCTAGTATCAAAGAATAATATCAAGTTTACCGTGTTCATAGAGACACCATCAAATGAAAAGCATTGAACAGACAATTCTTGGCAACTTTTTTACATTCGCGTCTTAATAAGTTGAATTTATTGTTAGATTTTCTGCACATATATTACTGTAATATGAAATATGAATGCCCAACATGGCAAGATATCGAAAAGGCCATAATTGAAAGCCAAAAGACAAAGGCTATAAAAAACAATTAGACGAGCTACGTCAGTCTGATGATTTAGAACTGCACATATTAATATACGAAAAGACTCTAGCAAAATTTCAGACTACAAAAACGAGTTAAAAATTCGACGGTTTATTGAAAAATATTACAATTTATGTTACGATATTGTTAAGGATACATTTATAATAGAAGAGCAAGTAGAGGAAGAGCTTGATTCTTGGATTAATCCTTGAGCATCCAATTAGGTGGTAATTCAGTATCACGCTAGTCAGTATAAAACAGGTTGACTAGTAATTTTTAATACGGTAAACCAATTACAATCAGTTGCACGACGTCTTCCACCTTCTAATTCACCCGGTTCGAGTAAATATCTCACCAAAACGCTATAGATTGGTAAACAAACTTCATCATACCCCACGGTTTACAGCAGGCTTCGCTTTTATTTTTTGCCTTCTAGCTCTCTTTTTGCCGCCTCATTAGGTGTCATATGTCGTGCCGAATACTGCAGGAGAGCGGTTAGTAATCGACACTTGGGATTTAGCCATCTTCAACGGAGCGTGGCTTCTCCTATCAATAATTAAATCTACTTTACAATTAATGACTTCGTCTTTTCCTTACGATAACCTCATCCTAGATAACGTAATTGTCCTCAGGTCAAATGCACGACTATCTACAGTACTGTGGGATTAATTCAGTAGTCTGTCCGTATGGGGACTCAAAACTAGTATAGTACTAATAAGCGCTTTCGTAAAATATGTTATTATCCTTCGATATAGAGATTAGCGAATTTAGGCTATATCGATAACTTACCGGATTGAATTATTAACAATGTATTTCAGAGTATAAAGGACTACTCATTTATTAGAATGGACACTGAATCCAACACACTGCTTTTATATCTTCCGAAAGGACTAATTGATCTATTTTTAGTAACGTTATTAATTATCCTATTTTCGGTTTACTATTGTTCTGCAGTATTTCCGATTGTTCTGATGGCGCGCTGTCGTCTCGCTGTTGTCGCGACAGCCGCAGTCGTACCACATCGCTGATCCCACTTGGTGTTACGGTCCGATCACCTGAACCTTCGGAGTTACGCAGAAATTACGGAGTAATAACCAAGAACTCTCGGCAATAGCTTTACACCGGGTCGGAGTAACATTTCTCTGCACTCCCCCATAAGTAAGAGGATTAGAGGGATCATTGTAAATTTCTTAATAGCTGTGCTGACATTTTATCCGTCAAACCAAAACGACGACGATTGACACATCTTTTATCACGCCTCTATATTTGTAAACCCGTTTACCGAATAAAACTGTGGGCGGGGTTTATGAATTTGATGCACAGCATGTTTATCCAACCAATCTATCACATTGGTTATTTTAGTTTTCCATCGTGGCATTCACATGAACACGCGGTATCATGCCATTCGTAGCTAGGTGGTTTCTAACGTTTTCGAAGTGAGTACCTAACATATCGAGATACGTTGTCTGACAAAGTAGCGTATTGCGATCTCAATAATAAAAAGTTCTCTTATAGGACGCGTTTTCTTTTTAAGACGTCTCCTGGCAGTTATTTCTCCACCATTATATATATATTTCATCGTTTCACAATTACAGTCAACTCTGTCTATACCGGCGTGAGTGGTTTGGCGTTTTTGGCCGTCACAGCGAGATGATTCAGCCGTTATAAGGTGGGATTAATATATAATCTTTTGGTGCAGCGAAATTGGACCGGTATAAGGCGAAACCGGTATAAAAAAGGCCGGTATAGACAGAGTTGACTGTATTTAGATAATACACGTAGATTGTAAAAGAAAAACTTTTTTATTGATCGGAATGTCCGTTTTTATTTTTGGGAATTTAACTATGCTAGTATTAGAGCTTTATCAACAGACAGTTATTCCATTTTTACTATGTATCCAATTCAACGATGACTATACATAATCATTGGCTTACATTTGGAAGACGTAATTCAGCTATCTCTCTTTACTTTTATAGTGGATAAGCAACATGATGTAATAATTTGTTACACCAGGCAATATATCGGTACCCGTTTATACTTCCTTACTGCGTGAATAACAACAATGTTTATACTTATACGGTTGCGTGCGACAGCGATTAATAATATCAAGTACGCGAACACGCTACTCATACATCACTATCATAGGAAACCAGTAAAAAAATTTTACTGCGACTGTCACGATTGTTTCCGTAAATAAGAACAATAGTATCAGTGTAACATTTCGGAGCACATGCGATATACTAGGCAATATATCAATATCCGCTTATGCTTTACTATTGGTTGACAGTGATCTTGACTCTCACACTCCTTACTGCATAAATAGCAACAATATTTATACTAGTAAGGTCGCGACGACAACAATATCAAGTAGTACAACTTCTCATCTAACACGCAAACACGCGTCTACTCATACATTTATATATATACCCAGACACTCCTCAAAGCGCAAATACAACGTTATTGAAAAGTTAGCAAATCTTCTTCCCTAATCATAAAAACTTTTTTTCTGGACCAATACCCTATACCGATGCTTACCATGTCTACTTCTACAACTGAGCACGATGCATATTTAGTCGAAAACTGGGACACAGAGACACAGAGACACTTATCCTTTATCTGCAAGAACAGGGCCTCCAACTTAACGACAATGATTTTGCTATTCTTCGCAAACGAGAGATCTTCGGTCAAGACTTCCTTGATATGACCAGATATGATTTCACGCAAGCAGGTTTGGAACTGGGACCGGCAATGAGACTCGCAAAAGAAGCCAATGCCTTTAAAGCCACCACGCCGAAGCGGTCATTCTCATCGTACCACAGTTTGAGCGAGGAGCTGGAAAAATACGGTATTGAATCCGAAGGCATCGATGCAATTCCGTTATTCAACCCACCAGCCTATAAAATTCAGGATAACGATAAGCATTTCGAAGAATGCATCACAGAAATTAGCATAAGGTTAAGGGATTATGGTGATTTGAATCCAGACAGTTTGGAAGCCGTGCGTAATGAATACGTTGTTGCAATACTCCACGCTGCACTCCATATTGTCAGGGATGATACAAAAAAAAAGTTTAGTATGCGACCTCAACAGAAAATTATCGATGAAGAAAGTTGTGGGTGTGTCGATTACGCAATTAAGGTAGGAACGAGTGTAAGCTCTATTATTGAAAATAACTAATTGCAACTGGCTCCGGTAACACTTTATTTTTTAATGAACTTCCGTGTCTCCAGGATTCCGAGGCCCTTATTTGCATCACGGAGAATAAACAACATCAAATTCCCCTGGGTTTTGCTCAGAACATCAAACAGCTGGAAAGTTCGGTTGAAACTAACAAGAGAAAACGTAAGCGGGATGAAGCATTTGGCGATGATTTTGATTACATTTATGGTATTGTAACAACGGGACGAGATTGGCACTTTCTACTATATAGTCCTGGCGAAATTGCACGAAGTAAACCTGCCTGTACAATCGAATTTAACCAAGAAGCCTTGGATAAGGACTCGGAAGAATATCAAGCTTTGCATAAGAGTGTGAAAAGAGTTTTGGAAACGATTGTTGGTTTGTTAAAGGATCGGGCGTGTGTGGAAAAATTGCCTTCAAGTAAACGAACCAGAGTAGAAGAATATCGCTCGAAAAGATGATTACTTAAACAGAAACGTTGTGGAATGGACAGTCTTGAACTTACGTATTTTCTTTTTCTGGAGAAACTTGTTTGCACTTTGCTGGATCGAATCTTTTTTATCCTTGCCATTAATAGTGAATAATGCTTCTTAGAACACGTGCCTGATCGTATGTAACATCGATGCAATATATCGGAATAAAGCTGAGCTTAAGTATCGAAGACATAAATTTTATTTATAATGCATCGAGTGCACGACTACATCCCATCGTAATGCAAATATATAGTATTTATAATATATGTAAATCCCGCATTTACATGGGTCCGTATTATTCCATCGACAATCATTTCACCGACAATTAACTACTAAAAAGGTTAATGTTGGTAAATATTTGTCGGTGAAATAATTGTCGGTGAAATGATTGCCTCCCCATTTACATACAGTGTGTAACAAAAAAACCCGGATATTTTTTTATGCGACGTAAACGCGTCCCACGCGTTTGTTTTCTGTCCGATTAGGGAAATGTAAAATGGAAAATAAACACGATAATCAGGAGTATATTGAGCGTTGTTTACAACCCTGATTATTAACTTAATATACAGACACAATGCCCGCTTCTAAGCAAGAAGCACAACGTTAACGTATATTACATTTGTGGAATAAGGGAATGGCCAAGAAATTCATCGCCAAACAAACATCCCCCTTTCCACCGTTTTTATGATAACATAAAAAAAATTAAAGAAAAAGGAACAGTGGATCATGCGCGAGGCAATGGTCGTCCCAAGATAATCGGACAGTCAACACGGAAATATTCACACGTAAAGTGTCAAATGCGGGTGGCACATGACAATTTCGAGGCACCTGACCACTTATGGGTACTCGAAAGCATTACCTAAACGAATGCCGAAGCCCATAAGCAAAGACGTGTTGAGTGGGCACGTCAACACCTTAATGACAATTGGAGGAAGCAACTTTACCGGAACACCGCCGAACGTTGGTACAAAGGTAAACGACCGATTCGTCCCATGCCCAAAGATCGCACAAAAATCCTTGCATGGGGCGAATTTTGCGCAGTCGGTAAAACAAGTTTATTTTGTTTCCGGAGGATAATGGATGTCAAGTTTTACGTAGAAATACATTCCAGAAGTAAATATGTAGATGGAGACTCCAGCAAGACAACGATCAAAACACACGAGCCGTCTACGGAATTTTTGAAAGAAAATATTCCGGTGGTAATGGACTGGCCATCGAATAGTCTTGATTTAAACCCGATAGAAAACCTTTGGGGAATTGTTAAAAATGATGTAGAAAGGCGAATGCCAAAAAATCTTGGCGAACTGGAGAGTTTTATGGTGGAGGAGTGGAATAGAATTCCGGAAAGCATGTTAATTAATTTGGTGGGATCAATGAAACGACGTTGTGAGCTCATTATTGAGAAGAATAAATTTTGTCGTGACAAAATAAAAATATCCGGGTTTTGTTGTTACGCACTGTATATGCATTTGGTATTATTATGTATTTGATTGCCTCTGGTGAACCGATAGAGTTTTAGTATCTGATATTTTGAATGGACTACGACCACCAATGCCTGATTCAGCACCAGAAGAATACAAGAAATTTGCCGAGCAGTGTATCCACTTTGGCATGGTATATGGGATACTATAATAATGATGTAATACCCTTATCACGTCTTGAGAGAGTAAATATTCTAGTACGCTCTTACCTACTACTACTGGGATTTGCCTAAACCGAGAAATAGCTATGATTCAGTTGCAGGTATGAAGACAAGAATTGTTATGTGTTGATATCAAATTGAAGTGAAATATTGACATTGTTCATTAATTTTATCTGTAATTTAGTGACTCAAAATTTTGGATAAATTTGTACATGTCTAAATAAACCATGCTTATAATAATAACTAAATAAATAAATAAATAAATAGATTCCTATCACGTGCACCGAGAGTAACATATAATTCACGCTAACAAAGGGAAACGTCTTTATTAGTATTGACTGGTAATTGTAACCCTAGATAACACTTAGTATTAGGGGAAATAAAACAGCAAATCAATGAATGAACTTCCGGAGAAAATAACTTTATACAAAAAAAACTTACTCTACAAAAATTAATGTATAGACCAAATCATAAAAAAATATCGCTAATGAATTTTTCTTGAAAATATCAAACTCCCATTGTCGCAAAATCTACGTTTTAAAAAGTTGATGCGGAATATTGATTGCTTATATTTCAATGCTAAAATTGTGAGTGAATAAGTTATAACTTGATGTCCTTGGCATGATCATATCAATATAGCACCCATCACAGTAAACCATTTCTTATATTAACAATATTAATTATACAGGAAATTATCGCTATATAGACCCTTTTAACCCCCTGAAATCAGTTTGACCCCCGAAAGAGACTTGTGTGGCGTCATTTGTGCGCAAAAATAATGCATACTGTACTTTTTTTTTTGTCGAAAACCAAGTCTCTTTTTTTGAATACGTGTTTGAATTATGGTCAGTTGTCTTTGGTTATACGCGTTTATATATTGCAGAACGGGTGAAACCGAGTTGTGATGAAGAAAATGCTTTGACTGCTTTCATATAGGTCGTGCTAGCAGCAGCTATTTGTACAAAGGCCGGCAAAGGTAGGAAGCTAAAGAGCGATACGATCGATTCTTGAATAATTATAAAATCGTATATAAAACTGTAAACTGATACCTGATTTCTCTCTTGCGCTTTTTTACATACTTGCTACATAAACCAATAGCCGTGATCTCTCGCCAGTATCGTGAAATGCCACGAGCCCGTATAGAAGGTCTTTTAGCATCTTTTCCCAAACTAACAAGTGCCGGGCAGCAACACACAACGATCGAGACAGAACACGTTCGCTATGTCTATCAGCCACTTGACGAACTTTATGTTGTGCTCATCACGAACCGTCAGTCCAATATTCTCCAAGATATAGACACACTGCATTTGTTTGCGCGTGTGGTATCTGATATATGTCGTTCTACTGATGAACGAGAGATCCTCAGACATAGTTTTGAATTACTGAGTACTTTTGATGAAATTGTGTCGTTGGGGTATAGAGAGAATGTTAATCTGGCTCAGGTAAAGAGTATCATCGAAATGGAAAGCCATGAAGAGAAACTTCAAGAGATAATAGCTCGGGTAGGGAAAAGTGATCTCATTGATTTTTCTTTTTTACATTGGAGGCGTTGAAGTATCTGAATATTTGGTCTGTTTACGACTGATCTTGATAGAACAAAGAACAAGAAGCAAAGGAGGAGCTCAAGAGACGGGCCAAACAACTGGAGATGCAAAAGAAGGAAATGCTTAAGCGTGGAGGTGGAATAACGGGCTCTCCCTTTGGTAGTAGCTTTGGGATATCTGTGTCTAGGCCTATGACTTATACTGAACCTCACGTTCAGACTAATCTTGATGACAGTATTCGTTCTTCATATAGCAAGTAAGTTTATTTGATGGCAAATGGTGAATGGCGGATAATTAGACTCATTCACGTTTGATTTCGCGCATACTATATGTAAGCGAAGCGTTGGTCTCCATTATTTATCAATCGACCGCGTTTCAATATAGAATTTGTCGTTTGATTATTTCCATACCCGAAAAAATCATGCCATATGATTATCTCTATTACTCACATTTATTTATGAGTCACTAATTTACGAATTCTTTCTAAGCTCGTCAACCCCAGTCTCGAAAGCAAAAGGCATGCAACTTGGTCGTAAACAGAAGGGTGCTGACTTGTTTGAAGCTGTCAAAAGTGAAGTTGGCATCGATGAATTATCCGAAAAATCAGTCGGTCACGCCGCTATCTCTAGAGTTTCTGTTGAACCTGTTCACATAGCCATTCTGGAAAAGATTAGCCTGCAAGCGAAGAGAGATGGTGGGATAGAGAACTTGGAAGTTAAAGGAGAGATGAAATTAACTATTTCTGAAGCATCTTTAACACGCATCAAGCTGAGTGTTCGTGCTAACGATGACAATAATTTGCAATTCAAGGTTGGAAATTGGGTAATTTTTTTGGGGTGATTTTAAATATGTAAACGCTGAACAAATGTTGCTTTTGTTAGACGCATCCCAACGTAGACAGAAATCTTTTTGCCACTGATAGTGTTATTACTGTAAAGAATGCGGCAAAGGGATTCCCCGTGAATCAATCGTTGGGAGTTCTTCGATGGCAATATATCACGAAAGATGAAAGTGCAGTGCCTCTTTCAAGTGAGTTGATCAAACAGAGCGTTTCTTTTTCATTCTAGAATTAGTTCTACGAATTCTCATCTGCCCTTATTTTATAATAGTAAACTGCTGGCCATCTCCGGCAGACGACGGCACCATGGCTGTAAATATTGAATATGAACTCGAGAGTACGGACCAAGAGTTTAAAGACGTTGTGATTTCTATTCCATTGCCACCCGGTGCTAGTCCAACTGTTGGAGATATTGATGGGCATTACGAGTTCAACCGACAAACTAAAACTCTTGATTGGCTGTTGCCTATAATCGATGCTTCCAGCAAGCAAGGATCATTAGAGTTTGAAATTGCCGGCGATGATGTAGATGTATTCTTCCCAGTTTCGGTTGCTTTTGTCAGCGAGAAGTTATATTGTAACGTTGAAGTATGTGAATTGATGGCCAAGAATGGGCACAATTGAATTATTCATAGTCGGCGAATATATTTCGACTAATAATCTTGTCATTATTCTTAGGTTCTTGATGTTACTCAACTTGAAAATGGTGCTCCGGTATCTTTTTCAAAGGAAAAGATTTTAACTGCTGAACAGTACAGTATCGTATAATGTCATGGTAGGCATTCTGCACATATTAGGTGATGTAAATCTACAATAATCACGTGCAAATTTATTTATATCACTGGATTAAATTAAAAATTACCCTTGTGCCAAAGATAGAATTAAAATGTACACTTTTTATAACTACTTCTTGAATATACTAATAATCTAGAATCCCACGAAAAAAAAAAGTGAACAGCAATAGAATCTATAATAATATTTCTTTAATGCCTCCAAAACTCTACTCGTCTCTCTATTACTTCTCTCACTTCTTCAGCATTCAAAACATATATTTGCAATTCCTCTAATAACCTTGGAATAGCATTTGGTTCATCATTATTAGTTAGAATGTGCAGGACTTCGAAGATGGTCTTTTGTTTTCTGGTATTGTGTCTGTCCTCCTTTTCGGTTGGTAGGGTAAGCAAAATACACACGTCATGTGTCCTATGCAGCAAAACCATACGCTTGATTAATGGGTTGGTTAAACTTACATACTCGACAGACGATAACTACTTACCTTCTGAAATATGTCTCAGGCTTCCTGACCCATCTTCTCCCAATAGTAAACAATCCCTTCTCGACATCAGTCGCAAATTGCCAACCCCCAATTTCAGAGAATTGATTGCGCATCAATATACGATGCCACAAGTAATCCTCAATCTCTTTCGACAATTCTTTATATAGTTGCAGAAAATGTCTATTAGGGAGATTATCTGCGAGAAAAGTGAGCGAATGAGTGAGCTGCGCGAGTGGTGTGTAGAGTTCGGGAGAGATTTCTATCGCTTTCTTGGGATCGAATGTAGGATCCAAGTGTGATGTTGGAAATGCAACGGAAGCCTCGAAAGTGTGGATATCTTTGCGGGACCATGTTGACCTTAGTGAAAAGTCGAAACAAGAATTGTAAATAGAAAATACCGATAGAGAGCATAAGCAAAATGAATACTGGATCCGACTTTTCTTACTTTCTATTGTAAGCCTTTGCTTCATTCGTAAATTCTCGGGATACATTCCTGACAATTATTCTCTCAACACGTTCTATTAATCTATCATACGGTTCAGCTGATCCGTCGAATATAGTCCCATCATTACTTGAAGTATCATTTGCCTCATAGTCTTCGTCAGGAGCATCACCTTCAGACGATCTGACCGAATGTATAGGAGAGGGTAAAGAGGCAGCGTCTGTATTCATGGCAGCACGGATATTGACACCGTGCCACAAGTCCAAGAAAAACTGCAAATAATTCCAAGGACGATGATATTAATAGCAATCACTGTTTCTCCATAAACAGAATAATTACTCCCACCCTGATGCTGATCCAGTTATTCGTGCTCCATTAAATTAATACTAATATATACATACCGGATCTTCTCCCCATTCTTTTATAACCGCACAAACGTATCTAGCACTACTCAACCACCGACACAACCGTTTCAATCCCTCAACACCCTCTGTCGACTTGTTATCAGAAACTGCCCCTGCAACGGGCACTGCTTTCATAATAGAATGACCAAGACTCTCAAAAGCGTTGACGGCAGACTCTATCCTCTTTGCATATGCATCGAGAAGTTCAGTCTGAATATCAACCAGGAAGCGTATACGAATGTTGAACATTGGGAGAGGTTTGTAACGGCCTTACCAATACAAGGTGGTTAGTCCGAATGAAACAAAAAATTTGTACATTTTGGATGTAATGAATGTATTACTTGTTATTAATTCTAACAGGTCGATTAGCTTTTCTGCCGATTTGGTTGGCCGAAGTTCGTCTTCTGACGATGCATCTTCATCAATGTCCCATGCGTCTTCTGCATGCACTATATCATTATAACGAGCTTCTGCAACTAAGACCAATAAACCGGTATTGAATGTGTTAAAAAAATTAAAATAAGACACGCTACGTATATGAATCGTTCATCTCTACTTACAATCTCTTTCTACCTGAAGCCAAGCTTTAAACAACTCTTTCCGTCCAGTAAACACTTCGACGCATCCCTTCCATTCCCCTAGTCCAGGCGGGACATAAAAGTGAACTTCTCGTAAGGTTTGATCAAATTGTAAAGTCTCAAATACTGTATGAGAGAATATGTGCGGTGTATTTAATAATGATGGTGCTATATGACTAAGTTTATGCGTTACTACAGTGAGTAACGCTCTAATAAAGTCATTCTGGAAGAAAGAAGAGAGAGAACATGCGACAGTGTAATTATAGAATAGAATATGGACAAGGTCGAAAGTATTCATCGTACTTACTTTAGCATTGTAAAGAGTGAACTTGGCTTCGTTGAGAATACTTTGCACCTCTTCAGCGATGAACAAAGAATGATCACGTATCATGTTCAGAACAAAAGTGAAGAACCACTCTGGCTTTATGCAAAAACCAGCCATTAGTCAATTAGACGCGTAGGTTTTGTTTGAGGGTTTTTAGTATCGATATAAATGCTTGTTAGCTGACGTAGATTATTGGATAAATTTCACAATTATTGTTTAAGAGTTCTAACCAGCAACATTACATATTAGCACAAACCTTATCGATTCTATTAGTACCCCTCTTGGCGTCAAAATGATATCTGAATCGTAAAATCAAAGGTTCAACCATCACTTCAATCGGAATGAGCCGCGGTAATTCTTGGTTCTTGTCCTTGGTAGAGTCTCTCGACGACGTTCGATTATCAAGATTCTCGACTGGACGCTGGAGGAGTAACAATTCAATGAACGCTTTCCTAAAAGCAACGATTTTGTCACGCATGTTTGGGGGGTATGGCAATTTAATGGGATTTGGCCATTGTAAGGCATCGAGTGTCTGCTGGAATTTCCTACAACGAATGGTAAATCGCATATTAGCAATGAATCAATCAACAATTGCAATTTGCTTTGTTTTTTCACTTGCATTTTACAGGCCGATGAAACGAGGAAGAAAACAGACGTGGCAAAAACAAAGATTTTCCGCATTCCCAATCATCAAGAGTGCATACTTTGTTAGCCTGCTCCTCATTTCCAATAATAAAGCTTCGACTGTCCTCATCAAATATTCATCAAGATTGCCGACCACTCCGTCACTATAATTATTATTCTTTCTAATATTCTGCGATAATTCAGCCAATTGCATGTACGGAACAAGAGCCTTTTGTGGTGACTTTTCGATCAACTGTGTTGCTTGATTACTAAGACATAATGAATACGGTTGGTTAATATATGGATTCAACAGTTCAATCTTTCCAATTTGAGACAGTTTAGTTGACTTACCTTAGCTCTTCCGCCACCATGACTGTTCCCAGATACTGCTTTGCAGCCTTGAGATCGGATATATTGTCATTTAAGAGAATCAAGTCTTGAAGGAATGTTTTTGATTTTGGTTTTTGACGAATTCCAGAAGAGCCTGAGGAAGTAAGTTCGCCACAGTGGTCAGTCAAATCCTCTTCGAGATCCATACGCGTAGCTTGGAAACCTTCAAGAAGTGCTACAGTCGATTTAAAGGCTTTTAAAGACGATTGGAGAGTTTCGGTCGTTTTTTCTTGCGTCTTTACGCGCTATAAGAATGGCGAGAGCATTTAACACCCAATTTCATATTAGTAGCAGAAAAAAGGTTGTAATTCTGTAGACCTTTTCCTCCGACTCTGTTTCGCGCTTCTTGATATTACTCAAAATGCTGTCAAGCTTTTCCAAATCTTCTAATTCGCGAAATCGCGAGTTGAGGAATTCGACCACATGGCCCCCAGTAGTGCTATTGTCGGGTTTCTTTAGAAACGTTTCTACATCAGTCGAAGAAGACATTTCAATCTTTTCAACTGTTATTCACTCAAAAAAAAAACGTTTAAAGATACAATAATCGCCACATATTCTCGCTAACGATAATCAGGTAAGTAGCACTTGTGTTTCATTCCCATGGCGAATGATTGTTCGCGTGTTTATCACATGAGGCTAACTGAACCGCACATCGCACGGTTTTTCTCTTGTCTCGAGGGAAAATTCTTGTGTCGTCTTCTTCTGCTCGAATTCCTCGTTTCTAACCCCCAAGACATTTCTCATACATTCTACCGAGCGTTTTCGGTATCGTTATAACGACCGCGCGAGAGTGAAATTCTTTTCTTGTGAGTTGCTTTACAATGGAGAGCGTTGCGGAACCTAGTCACCATTCCTCGACCCCACATACAAATCCAAGACGCGTGTCGCTGGACTTTATGGCATTCGTCGGCGAGAATCAGAAGGGAGAATTGTGTCTAAACAACTATGTTCTGAAACAAGAACTTGGACAAGGAGCTTTCGGGCGGGTAGTTTTGGCTGAAGACAAAAATAGTGACAAGAGATATGTAAGTGCTGAATGAGGGAAAAATATGTGTGAAGAGTAATCGGATTTTTGCCTTTCTATGGGGATCTAATGTCTATATGTTGACACTAATAAAGCCGATGTGCTGTTCCGTTCAGTTTGCGAACAAATCAATATGATTTTGAATAACGACTTTTATTTAACAAGATCTTCCTTTTCTTATGTTCTTTTTTGTGTTCATCTTTTTTCCTGCAACTTTTTCTTTTTTTCCCTGATGTAGGCAATAAAGGAGTTTAGCAAAAGCCGTCTCCGAAGAGTACATTCAGGACGCGGACGTCGTCGCGGTTGGCGTGCACTTCGAGGACCGTCAGCTGGAGCTGCTAATCCTGAGACTAATAATCCGTTATATCTAGTACGCGATGAAGTGGCTATATTGAAGAAGCTTAGTCATCCGAACATAGTCCGTTTATTCGAAGTTCTTGACGATGCAAACGGTGATTCGCTCTATATGGGTGAGTATTAATACACAAATTGGTTGAGAGCGAACGACAATGAAGTGGGATACTTATCACTGGTATACTTGCTTTTTTTTTGCCTGTAGTGTTTGAATTATGTGAAAAGGGCGTGTTGATGAATGTGAATATTGTAAAGAAAGCAAAGCCATTTACTGAAGACAAAGCACGATATTATTTTAGAGAAATGATTCTTGGGGTCGAGTATCGTAAGTCGATCCGAATTCTACTTGGGTTCTGACATTTGTTTTGGTTGATTTTCCATTTGTCATCTCTGCTTACATTTACATCGTTCTTCCACAGTACATTCGAATGATATCGTTCATCGAGGTGCGTCAACTTATCCTTTGGTTAAATCTCTTTCCAAATAGTTTTACCAAAAATTTTACTAAATCTTTTCTTTTTTCACAATCGAAAAAAAAAAAGACATCAAACCAGACAATCTGCTTCTTTCTAGTGATGAAACGTTGAAAATTGTTGATTTCGGCGTTTCCGAAATTTTTGCAGAGGGAAACGATAAAATGCTCAAGTCAGCAGGCAGTCCGGCATTCATGGCTCCTGTGAGTAGATTTGCGTGTAAATTCGCTTTTTGCACAGTAATTAACATTTACATTTTGGCTGTAATTGTAGGAACTTTGTGAATGTAAGTTGTGAATTGGATTGTGACCGATTAGTGAGTTTATTTGTATGAAATCGTGACTGGATTCTGAAGCACATACACATTTTCGTAATTAGCTCGCCATGGTGAAATATCTGGTAAAGCAACAGACATCTGGTCTATGGGAGTGACATTGTATTGTATGTTATTTGGAACTTTGCCATTCGTGAAAGATAATGTGGTTGAATTATATGATAGTATAAAAAACGACGAGTGAGTAACAATTGTCAAAAGAATTGATGTGTGATCATGTGATCCACTTACTGATTTCATTTATTTTCCAAGAACTCCACTTCCAGAGACTACTGATCCTCGCTTAAAGGATCTGTTTAAAAAAGTATTAGCAAAGAAACCGAGCGAGCGAATTACTATGCAAGAACTCAGGGTTTGTATATTATATCACGTGATTTATACGTTTATGTGATAAAGATATGCAAGTAAATAACATTATGCATCCCCTGTTTAGGAACACCCCTGGGTTACCAATGATGGCACTGAACCGATGATAACGAGTGAAGAGAATTGTGCCGCAGTTGTTGATGAGATTACGGATGATGAGCGCCAGGCTGCTTTTATGACTATGAGTAACATCGCCATGGTGGTATGTATTCGACAAGATATTCTCCCTAGAACCCACATTAACATACATGATTTTCACGTTCTCACTATCATGCGGTTTTCTACCCCTGACTACTCGTGTGTATATTTATTACATAATATGGCTACTTACAGATGAAAGCAGTAGCTGCCTTTAAACGCAGATCGATGACCCATCACAACACAACAGAAACAGCCGGACGGAGTTCACTATACGCGGTTGCATCGGCAACAGCGCCCGTGTCTGAATCTCATGTAAATGCAGGTGTAGACAGCGTGACTGAGGGAATGCAAAATGTATCGATGAACGATAAAGCGACGGTACAGCAGCAGGGGTAAATCTGTGATTGTTGGGGTACCTTGAAGTTTAAATCTTATGTTCCGTTCATAGATTGAGGTATAAATTATTGGTTAATTAAGATCTTTTGTGATATATGTGTGGTACTGTACAGTTCCAAGCATCGTTATATAAAACCTTATCTTATTCAAGCCAAAGACGCAATATATTTTTATATTATAGTTATTGTAAGTATTGTAAGTATTTATTTATTATTTATTATTATTATTATATTTCTATAACTATTTATATATTTAGCCATTATATCTTACGCTCACAATGCGTTCATGAAGTCGCCTGCAAGAATTACAACTACCTAGACTCTGGCTTTTGACTTTTTTATATTTGATTCGGTTATCGGTCGTTATGATTATTGTAGATCATTCCATATGAGGATAATTAAAGTATATAAAGTGAATAAGTTATAGTCCTTTGTTTGTGATTTGAAACAAAGAAACAGAAATTAAATTTAGATAGACGCTTTGTAAGCTGTATCTTATTTGCTTTATTGGTTAGGCAGGGAGACTAAATGGGTCTTTTTATATGCATGAAGGGAATATATTGAATATATTGTGCACAGAGGAATTCTTTTTGTCGTTTCGTACAGACGTAATTTGTACACACAAATAAATATATATCCGTTCATTTAATATGTGAAACACTCGGTTTATGATGTCACGTGAAAATGCGATTGTAAATTTTATTTTGTATTTTTGGTTTTTTTTTTTTGGATGAAAAAAATGCGAAAGGAAGAAAAGGCACAATTTTTTTTTGTAGAGGAAGAGGGGAGGGGGGATGTAATAGTAATACGGAATGTAGGACGGAATGTAGGACGGAATGATTGCAAAATAACCAAAGATTTACATGTCTATGATAAAAACTATATATATATATGTAAAAGAAATTATGTATAACTATAAACAAGGGAAATATAATCAAGTTTCAAGTATAGATAGGCACACACACACACCCCGCATATTCGTACCCCGCACCCGCACCACGCCAAAATATGCATTATCAACTACCAGCAAGAACAACTCGCTGCTCAGTATTACTCCCATTACCATACAAGGCACTAATCTGCTTAATCATATTATGATCCAGTGAGCTACTTCGCCTCATTCGACCAAGCCGCCGTTGCTGGTGATTCTTTTTTTTTATATTATGAGTACTAGTAGATGTAGTAGTAGATGTAGTAGTAGATGTAGTTGTAGTAGTAGTGGTATCGCACTCGTCGTCATTGTTTGTATAATTATCATTAATGCTACTGTGTTTCTTGGAGATACCCAGGCCAGCTGATTTCCTTCTCGTTGGCCAGCGATAGTGATCGTTTATTCCATCATCCGAATCCGAATCCCCATTAATTCCGTACAGTCCTTCTATCGAACAGGGCGGTAATAACGAATGGTGACTATAACTCCTTCCCGATAAACTCCTCTTTATCCTCCTATGTTTCGGAGACCGCTGCATAGATAGGGTCTCTTGAAAATCGTCGGGAATGATCACCAAGCCTGCAGCCAGACTCACGCGGCGACCGGATGGTGTTTGCGAAATGCTGGTGTCGAATTCAGGACATGATGGTGAAGGTGTTAGAGTAAGCGAAGGTGCGTGATGGAGATGAGTAGAGAGTAGAGGTAGAGGAGATAATGGTGATGGTGGTATTCGGGTGGATGAAGATGAAGATGAAGAAAAAGAGTTGCCATGTATCGTGTTGTTTGCAGTAGCGGTTGAAGTAGAAGTAGGTTTTGTTGTTGTAGCGGTAGTAGTGGGAGTAGTAGTATTTGTGGAATCGTCTTTAATTATGCTATTGTTTTTCAATTCGTCCCAATAAGCACGATTGCTCTTTAAAGTGTCCAAGAATACTTTAGCTGGATTTAGGAAAGCAGCAAATGCTTCGAAATAAGGCTTAACCACAAAATCTCCGAATCTGAGACTAATCTGACACTGATGTGCTTGTTCTCTGTCCATATTTGGAGATACTGGTAGATTGTTCTTCTTTTCCAGGTCGCCTTGATTGAAGAATTCTTCCACCACCAAATCCGACCATCGCTTTGAAATGTCCCATGGTCTAACAGTATTGCTAAGGTCGGCAGCATGGAGGAGCACTTTGCAGAGGAGTTCTCGTTGATTAGCATCGAGAGTGATGAGATTTGTGTACGGTAATGATGTGAAGAAAGAGTCTATTGAGGATGTGGATGATAATGGGGATGGCGATATCGGCGAAGAAGATGCTGATCCGTCTGAACTTGCAGGGCAACTGTTGTCAAATTCTTCTTCCGAGTCTTCGGACGAGCACGCTTGTTCGAACATAGAGTCCATTTCTACAAGCAGGCCAAAGTGGAAAGCCATGTCAGTAGCGAGGATAGTCTTTTTGATAAGTTGGCGGAGGGAAGCGTCAGTGTGTTCGGGGTCGAAACCGTAATTTTCGGTAGGGCAAAGATGGACATTGCCAAACAGATTGTGTTTTGTTATTAACTCGTTGGTAAGATCGCACGAATAGTTTTCGAGGACTGATTGATCGTTGTAGCGGTTTGCGAGTTCTGTTTTTGCATTGACTTGGTAGACATTGTTTAGACCGGGCTAAAAATTTCGTATGTACAGTTAGTTTATAATTCTATTATAACACGTGACCATAATAATTAAATTTTCCCACACATCCATCTTTATTTGTTTACTTACATGGCCAATGTCATGACAAAGTCCAGCGATTAGCAAAGCCACACAGTCGAGGTTAGTCAAATATTTCTGGACACCCAAATCGGTCAGCATGTAGTATAATACAGCTACCACATCGACAGCGTGGTAGAACGAATGGTAGGAAGTGGCGCAATAGCCCTTCTCGACGTCTATTATGAAATCTAGCATTTCTGATTTGCGTATTCCCAAAGTGCCCGACAGGTCGAGTTTAGCCAGCATGCCAAGCACTATTCCGTATAATTCAGGTTTTGACCAGTCCCAGACGGCAAAGTTCATGCCTGTGTTTGGTAACTTGTTTGCGAGGAACTTTAACATTGTCTATTGAAGAAGAGGGGGAGAAATGGAGGGGGGAGGTGTGCGTTTTTGGTTAGAATACATGGATATATCGATATTAGGACATGACCGTTAGAAAAGTGGTATACCATTTACTACTTACTCGTTCACATGTGATAAGGTCGTTTGAAGAAAGTGTGTTGTATCGTAGTAGAAGCATTTTGAATGATGTGGAAATTTTGTATGCGAAAGTGAATGTATTTATAAGTGTCGTTGACTTGGTCGTTGACTTTTGTCGTCGTCAGCAGTATTCGTTATGCAGTTGTTTTGGTATTCCTGATACACTTTTTTTTTTTGATATATACACACACGCGTGTTTGATATTTATATATATATATTTTTGCCGAGCATGTAAGAAAACAAGAGAAAAGAAAAAGGGAATATATATATATACACACGAAGGGGTTTAAAAAGGGGGGAATTCCAAATCTATAAAATACCCTCTTTTTATTTTGTTATATAAATAATATTATGACGAAATGTATAGTATAATTTTATTCTCAACAGGAGAAACGAGTTAAGAGTTCGAAAGGCTGGGGGCAGGTGGGCAATGGGTCGTTTTTGTAGTTTTCTGATGGGTGGTGGGTGATGGGATACGAGTGCGATGGTGCATGCATGAAGGAATAATAGAAGAATAGAATAGAAAGAATAAAGTAGGACAAATAGTTAATACTGTAAAAAAAGTGTGTAATGTTTAGAATACAAATCTTAATATGCAGTTGAATAGATTAATTAATTAGCTGGTATTAATGTGACATTTCGTTCTTTATCCCTATACGTTCCGATGTCTAAACGCATACAATACTCGCATATAAATAAACCAACATTACCATTAATAATAATAACAATTGTAATATTATTTATATTTATTTATGTAATTAGGGCGTACAGTTCGGGTGAACAAGTGAAAGAGACAAAGAAAAAAAAATCCTATATGTTTGTTGCTGGTGATACGGGTGATACAACAAAGTGCTCGGTTCTTCTTTATCTTTCGAAATAGAGCTGCCACATGGAGAACACAAGTGACAAAATAGGATGTGATTATTCGTAGGGGGGTTAAAGGAATAAGGAATAAAGACTATGAGGCGGAAGGAAGGGAAGAGGAAGGAAGGGAAGAGGAGGGAAGGAAGGGGAAGGAAGGGGAAGGAAGGGGAAGGAAGGGGAAGGAAAGGAAGGAAGAGGAAGGAAGAGGAAGGAAGGGGAAGGAAAGGAAGGAAGGAAGGGAGCAGCAATCGAGCAACAGGACAAGACAAGTAATGGACAAGCAAGCAATCGAGCAACAGGACAGGACAAGTAATGCAATGGACAAGAACCGGCATCGACAGCAGACAGCAATCGACAACACAACAACACAATCGACAACACAACAACCAACAACAGCCAACAACAGCACCAGTTCAGCACCATATCATCCCATATATAACATTCTCTCCGAAAGAGAGCTTGCTTGGTTGGTTTCCGAATTTACCCGTTGATATTAAACCTTTTATTAATCTCGTTTTTCCACCCTAAATGGGCAAAACTCGTATCGATTTGGTTACCTCGTTGACAAATCTATAGGCATTTCGGTGAAATTTACAACGATTGTGTCGATTGTTGTTGAGCAACATGGCTGATTCTTGTAACACATACCGTACATATCTTACATATGAACCAATGAGCTGCTGTGTTACGTTGCCGTATAACGTAGAACGATAAAGAACTGATCGTACAACGAAAACATTTATACAAAAAGAGAGGTCAATCACGTAAATAACAACACAACAACACAAAAGAGTTATTCGTTAAATGAGTTTGGGTGTGGGCTGGAATGTTCGTGTGTTTAGGCATAACGCCCATGGGAGTACAATGGCATTTCTTGCTGGGCGTTGTAGCGTGGGCTACCATGCTGAACACCACGCTGAAATGCTGAAATAATGTTACTTATTGTTCCAGTTCTTAATTTAGTTAATGTGACTGAAACGAACAACCCAAAATGCCTCTGCAAATATAAATTTGTAGAAAATGACATAACATGTCAGATATGACATAACTCTTTATATCAAACAAATATCATATATACGTAATCAATATGCCATCTATGGACAGCCAATCCGATACACCGTTCGATACGTTCCTTGACAAGTCATATATCTTTATACCCCTCTTTCTCCTATTCCCCTCTTTCTCCTATTCCCCTCTTTCTCCTATTCCCCTCTTTTTTCTATACCCTCGTATTGTGTGTTCACTAATTATCTAAATCTGCGCATCTTTTGCTGCTTGCTTGGTAGTGCACGCATCTGCAGACTACAATGGAACTAGCTAATGTATTGAGCAAAAAAAGGGGTAGATTGAAAAGAGAGAAAAGAGCAAGTCAATGATATAACAATGCGATGATGGCGATGATGGCGATGGCGATGTATGTGTTGTGTAGGTAGTATGTGTTGTGTGTTGCTATTGTGTGCTGTGTGCTGTGTGCTGTTGCTGTTGCTGTTACTGTTACTGTTGTTGCTGTGCGTTGTCATGAGTCATTGATGAAAACTTATTCAGTGAGATCTTTCCATTGTACAACAATTAGCCATCAGTTTTCACTCGTGGCCTACAGCCACACACAATAAAACAATGATGACACATTGTTTATGAAAAAAAAATAAAAAATTTTCCCTTTTTCGATAAACTTTGCTAGTCAATAGAATTCTTGTACTCTGTTATTTTATTTTATTATACGTTCACATGTTCTATAACCCCACATTTTCTCGTCCAATCAATGTGGCGCCACTTTTGTCATTGCAATACAAGAAAAGCCAAATGCCAAAATGATGATTGGATGACATAAAAGCATCCGACAAGTCGAAAGAAGGAAGCGAGAGCAAGAATCATTCGATGTCCTAGAAAGGCGATTGTTTTAGTGCTGGCAGGTTTTGAGGGCGACTCTTGTTTATCAATATATGCCCAGTGTCTGGTAATAGTAAATACCCTCATTGTAGCCCGCCTGTTATGTAAAATTGGCTAACGTCCTTTTGTATATATACATAAAACGTGGTTTATTGTATCGTATACTTTTTATTATTCGATCGTCTCCTTCTAAATGATCATTTACTTTCTGATTCTCACGCACTGACTATTTCACATTCCAAGGGTTCTATCATGTAATGTAAAACTTGTCATGACAGCAGTCTCCCCTTAACTATCCCTTGTTCTATTCCATTCTATTCCATTCCATTCTATTCCATTCCATCTCTTCTATTATATTATATTATATTATATTCTATTCTATTCCTCTCTCTTTTTCGAGCTCTCTTTCAAATGGTCCATTCCCACCCATTGTTCCCACATGGATGTTTGGATGATGATATTAAGGATATGGTGTGGGAAGCGTTCTGGTCCAGAACCAGAAGTCGATTTCGTAATCAGAGTCTAGCCCTGGCGGGCCCCGTTTCACAATCAAAGTGCCGAGCCATCAAAAACATATTACGATACGGCGATAATACGTTGACCAATAAGATGTATGTGATACTATCCGATACGGCGATAAAGATAGCCCTCGATTACTATTTTTTAGCCGAGTATTTCTTTCGTCTTAACACCAAATACGCACAGCCATCGATGATAATAAGATTTTGACAGACCTTTGAAATGTAATGTTGTGCCCATCAAAAAATTCTGCTCCCACGTTTAATCGCACTATCGCACTGTCCCCATAGATAAGATGTGATGTTTCAAACGGGATGATTCGATACAGTTACACAAGCATAATATTTATCATGTTGTAACCAAAACGGTGAAACGGGGCAGAACATGGTGAGGGGAAAAAAAAAAAAGAGTCAATTACAATAAATAATATAAAAAGTATACGTTATTTTTATGTTACTTAATTTGTCATGTTTGTTTGTTATTATTTGACAATTATTATTAATAATCATTAATACTTGTTATACAATATTACCTGTTAATATAAAATTTATACTATCAACCGTTTCGCCTCAACACCCCCCCCCCCTCGCTTATTACTTTAACGTAATTCCGGCCGCCGGTAGTACATGATGCATCATCGACATCACATTACCACCCACTCGACCGAAATTAATTCTTGGTATCCAATCATCATTTCGTCTATACAATATCCCTATTATCAACCCTTTCGCCTGTCCTTCCGCCAATCTGTAAAAATAGAAATCATCTATCCAATGTCAAATTAAATTAGAGTCATTTTGCATACATGTTTGCGGGGTTAATTTGATAAAGACGGTCAACAAGGAGCAAGTACGAGGCGAGAGTCTTGGATTTGAAAGATGTCAAAAAGGTAGCGAGTACGAGTGATCAGCAATACATTAAAAGTGTAAACCATATACGACAGTAATATGGACCCACATATGTAGACCACATATGTAGACCACATACGACCATATACGACCACACATCCATCACATACCACCATATACATCCATATACATCCATATACAACCACGCATTATAAGACAGACTAAACCAAGGTTTCGTTGCATTCCTTGTTAAACATGTTTAGTCGAGTGACAGCTCGTGTCTTGCAGATTTTCCTTACTCGTACATTGCTCTATGCTGAATTGTCTTGTCGGCTACTTATAATAAGATTCTGACACACATATACATGCACATAAACGTACATTGTATTCTTCTTCTTCTCCTCCCTCCCATAGTGCTTTGTCCATAGCACCACTTGTTTCCTATTTTCATTACTATGATGTCATTATGTATGACGCAATACAATGGAAAAAAAATGAATGAAACATTCTTGCAAAGGACTTTTAATACGATTCGTTTTGCTCAATCCGTCATTTATCATTTGATCTTTTAATTTTTTGCCACTTTCTTTTCATAACCCTTTGTTGAAAGATCAAAGTAACGGTGTTGGTTTGTTTATTTGTTTGTTTGTCGTTATATGCGCTGATATAATATTAGTTTATACTGTAAAAGAACAACTTTTCTTTGATCCGATCACCGATAACGGCTCTTTGTTCATCCAGTCGCCTTAGACTGTTGGGCCTTGTTGAAAGGGGAACTTGGTTGACTCTTTTTTTTTTTTTTTTTGACAACTGTCATGTTAATCAGGGCTGACACGTTGAACGATAACTAACCTTTTTTTTCTCCTTGTTCCGTTGACATCTACCAATCATTAAACAGGAAATTACATCATTACCTACGCATTGTTGAGATTTTTCTTTATACCGATTCGACGGCATCTTGCATACGCATGCATTATTGTCTTAATAATAAGGAGCGGAAAATCATTAGAAATGTCAAAATCTTGGGAATACTTGCCTTTCTTTATTAAGATATATGTATTGAATCGAATATATTAACATTATTATTACTACGCTTATCGAGATCATCAAACGTTGTGGGTTTAACTAGGAAAAGCTTATTAAGGGGAAACAATGAATACGTCCTAACAACGAAATACCGCTACTACGCTTATTATTATACGCAGTTAATATTAATTAACATTTAACATTTCATCAAACTACAGATCATTTCTATTTCCAGAACTCGTAAGACGAATGGTGTTCCTTCCTCTTTTGCATATTTCCCGCCTTTTTCCGCACAACGTGGCTGCTTGAGGCTGGGGAACAGCAATATACATAAATGCAAACTTGGCGAGGAAATGATGACAATAATCATAATAATCATACTACGTACGCTTTTACTTTGCTTTAGTTTTTCGCGCACGCACGCACAAGACATGCCAGCTTTTATTGGTAATCTCTCGTTCACATCACTTTTTACTTTCCTCACGAAAATACCACGCACCTACCCTTGCTGAGTCAGCACCCTGCGGATTGAATATGGTATCTCTATGCACGTCGACAGAACAGGTAATCAAATGACAATTGAACTGTGTTATAGAGTTTATTGGATAATAATTACGTGTATGAGCATATGACAAGAGAGCTGGGGCGGACACAGAGATAGCGGTATAGAGAGTTAAGGTTGAGTTGGTTGGAGAGATAAGAGACAGAGATAAAGAGATAAACAGGTGACGCAAATAGGAAAAGGCAATTGGCGACTAACGATATTTGGACGCTCATTGACATTTGTGTGTGGGTAATTGAATATTAAAGTTAATCTGTATATTCCTATAAAAAGATGTGATGATCATTGATATGTGAGTGTGATAGGACGAATGGATATGAAGGGATGGGAAGGGATGGGAAGGGATGGTGATGGGATGGTGATGGGATGGTGATGAGATGGTGATGGGATGGAATAACAACAAAGACGAATATGACGCCCGCCACCAAAGAAAATTGATCGAATGTGTGTGTTTTCAAAAGACCAACTATTCTAAAACAGAGTTCTATTCATGTGGAATGCAATCAACACATCCAACCACAAAGAGTTTTCTTTATGATCGTGCGCACAAAGATTGGGCGGCTGCGCTTACTTATGATGTCGTATGTATGTGCATTCCCAGGAAGGGAACGGAAGGGAAAGAAAGGAAAGGAGAAAAAGGAGATGGCGTTATTAGATGATGAGATGGATATTATGCAAAAGAGTTGGGTTTTCAACAGTGCCTTTTTACTTCATTCGGGTTGATCCACTTTCAGTATAGTCCTTGTCTTTCTTTGCGATTGAAATAAGAACATTCATTGATACGGACATGCAGTCTCTTGTGATTATACCCGTTTTGGAGTGTCTGGTGACTTTGTCTTTGTTTGGATTGGGAAATATTCCGTTGTTATCGATAAATTGAATGTGTTTGAGATGAAACGGGCGCCTTTTAAAATTATTGTATTGTGAGATGAATAAAGAATAAGTAGATTTTTTATGCGAGTTGTTGAGAGTAAAAAAATAATAATTAAATGGTGCAAGTATGTGGTGTATGTATGTGTGTGTATATACAGTATGTGTATATATGTGTATATGTGTATATATGTGTGTGTGTTGTTTATACAGTTATAGTCACATGATATTACTTGCTTAGTATGAATCATGTGAACTGTACAGATTCTTACAAGCCAATCACTACATCGCACACATTTGATACGGGCAGATATGTAAAACGTGGGCTATGAAAGAAAAACAAGTCGATGATCAATAAGATCTCTGGAAATGGTGGTGTGTCTATGTGTGTCTATGTGTGTCTATGTGTGTCTATAGTATTTCCTTTTATCAGCATCTTTACAAGATTACACACAGGCAGACTGTTTTTTCATGTGATAGTGGAGACGTTTTGTTGCATGTTACATGTTTATTGTAGATAGATGGATAGGAAGATCGATTCGAAGAAGTATGCAGTTTGTGGACCGTGTGAGTATTAATAAGTAATAAGAGCATAATAATAATAACAAATAATATTAAGAATAATAACAAAAAACAACAGCAGCAACAGCAACAGCAACAGCAGCATCAGTTACGATAACACACACAACAACATAACAACATGTAACAACAACATAACATGGTAATAACAACATGATAATAACAATAACTACAACAATAACAATAATAACAACAAACAATAATAAATAAGAATAATAGTACCACAATCGATAAAGACATTGCCGTTTTAAACAAAGCCAAGTTCTTTAAAGAAGGTTCATTGTATATTGCACCAATACCCTCTGGTGCATTACAATTGCATCCATTTGGTCCTCTCTCCGTCGCTCATTGTTAATATTGTTGCATTAACGACAACTATTTATTGTTCTTTGTCTTTATTGTTATAGTCCTTGTCTACTGTATCAATCATTGTTTCAATCTTCCAATTATCATATTATTTCCTGTTACTCTATCGCTTGCTATTGTTACTCGCCTGTGTTTATATGTCCCTCGTGTAACGTACGGGTACGAATGCGAAAAACTCTAAAATGTCGAATGAAGCACATATTTGATATCTAGACAAATTAAACTTGGCAATATTACACTCGCGTAACGATGAACAAAAAGTACCCAACCTTACAGATTGGAGCAGGGGATGGGTTCGGCACAACTTGGTAAAATTCTATAGGCAATATAGGGTTCAGGGCCGTTGGATTCAGAGTTGTGATTAACTGGTATGAATACTTGTTAAAATGCATTCAAGGCATACACGTACATACATACGTATATATACGTATACATATATACACATACATTCATGCATACATACATACATACCTACATACATACATACATACATACATACATACATACTCACATACATACATACATACGCTTGTGTACGTACATTTGTACTCTCACAATAAAGACTACTTTGTAATTCATATGACTAATAAGAATAGATCTGGGGCATGCATCGTCAGACAAAGCGATCAGTAACGCCACACAACTATGAAGATTTCAGGGGTTCAAATTATTATCGCAAAAGCGTCGCGGTATTCGCTCTATTCGATATTTTCCTTGTTCTTTGCCTACATGCAAACGTTTGAAAATATCTCGTTCGATAACAAGAGTGAGCTGAACAAACAATAGTAAATTCCTTAAACAGCGTACCAAAAATATTAAAACAATGTCAATGCCTTTTTTCTTTCTTTTAAAACTTGATTATCTAGATTGCATGACTATGCAAGATAAAATGGGGGTTTATAATGAACATGCTTCTTCTAGTACTAGTTAGTATATTGTCTTGCGTATTAATATTGTTCCCTTTGTTCCGGTGATGAATAAACAACTAGGAGCATTTTCAACACCATAACCCTAAAAAATACAACACTTTTGCTTCTTGTTAGGAGAATTTTTTGGTTAACCTGGTATCTTGTAGTTAGCCAGATATGTCTGGGCTTTCTCTCCACATATCGAAATAATGAGCATATAGTCTGATCGATAACCATTGTATACAGTTTCACCCATCCGCACAATACTCCTTACCATAAAGTTTTACCATCTGCATAATCTCCTTAACATCAAGTTTCACTCCTAGATCGTTTTTGATGGTAATCTTATTTGTAAATTCTAGTCACAACGATAATGTCTTTGGCAAGGATACCACAGAAACAGTTTAAAGGACAATTTATGTTGGTATTAATATATATCTGATAATTTAACATTGCAACGAGAAAATATAACGTCAAGTATATTATGAAACTAAAAAGTTACGTTAATTGTCCCATAGGACTACTTGGATTAAGAAAATTGCGTTTAAAAAAAATAGGCAAAACTTTATTTATCCAGATAATTACAGATTGTATTTTTAAACTCATTTCTACTGAGTATGATAATGTAAAGCTTTAATTCTGCTTAACGTCCAACTTTTTGGCTTTTAAACAATTTTGACGCGTGATTAGGAACTTTTTTTTTTTGGCACAGGCAAAGGTAAATTTTACGTTTAAAATTAATCTGGGCGCTGGGCTTATTTTACGCATCTTTGTAATCAGAACCGAATGGTAAAGGCGTCTATACATTCGATAATATACTGTTGGACTCGTATGTCATCAAAACTGGTTGTAAGTAGAACAAGATTAGGTCGTTGAATAAAAAGTTACTGGGACCAACTTTTGATGCAAATCAATACTGCATCGTTTCCCACATACTAACACGTTGCTTTAAAATTTATTATTTAAAACCCAAGACAATCCCGGTTAGTTGCTCTTGATTTCTATAAACTGGCTGAACAAATTTGCATCTTTTTTTTTTCGCACTCACCAAAGGATGAAATTTTTTTGTAATTTTATTTGATTAAAAATTCACTCAAACTAGAATCGCATATACGGTACTGTTCAAAACAATCATCCCCTAATTCGGGACAGGAATGAGTAAATGCTTTAAAATTTTCCTTGTGTATAGCGAATCCTAATCACTTGTAAAGTTTCAGGTCGGATGTCTCCAGCAAATTTCTAAACATCCTGCATATAAAATCATATCAAATCGGCATATCGCTCATTCGAACATTGAACTTCCATATCTTCATATATCTGCATGATCTTTTTCACCAGATCTGTCTCTACGTGCCCTTGGGATATATGGTTGAATTGAAAAAAAATTCAGTTATACTTGGCAATAAACGCGCATGATATCCACATGCCGCACAATCATAGTAACAATCACACAAACACATTCTGATGGCGCTGAAAAGATTAAAACTGTCGAGATATAAATTTTTGAATTTTATACGGAATCGCGCATGGGTCTGATATGTCTCGAAAGTAAAACATTTGATGCTGAAATTTTACAGGTGGGATTTGGGTGATACATATTATTATACGCAAAGAAATTTCAAAGCATACACTAATCCATTAGTTGATCTTCAAAATCTTGCCCTATTCCTGCGGTGCAGTCTCTAACTGTGGTCTGCTTCTTTCTAGCTCTGACTGCAGGTGCTCAATTGGATTTAAGTCAGGTGACTGGTTTGGACAATCTGGCAAAACTTGACTGTTCATTAAAATCCATTGCATGACATTTCCAGCAGTGCCGAGCCAAGTACCGCAGGAGAACGTTCAGTAATTGGCCTTGAAATTTAGCTCTTTTCAATCGAAGCTTGGTTAACCTCTGCTCCTACTCGAATCACCAATACAGCTAGTGATCTTAAATTGGGTTTATATACTTACGGCTCTTGCGTTCGATCTCGTATACACAGGTTCTCGATTGTCAACTATGCTGCAGCTATAACTCTACCCTTTATCGATGGAGGACGTCGGCGAACGATTATACTCTAAGTAAAACGCGTTTATTCGTAATAATTGACAATCGTATTCAGTCAATTTCAAGATTCGATGGAACAAGATCAGTGATTTCGGAACAAAGGCTTACAGCCGTAAAATCACTTTTGAGTGACCAGGGTATTTTAAGATCCAATAAGTATATTATTTATACGAATGCGAAACTAATAGTTCGAGTATTAGAAGGAATGTTAGATTCAAGAACGGGAATCCAAACGATGAGCTGAAGGTAATGTTAGCTAGCGAAAATATCACTGCTTGTAAAGTTTCTAACTAACTGTCTATTGATGATTTAATTATAGATTTGAATATACGTTGGTAGTTTGATGTAAAGCAGTCGTTATCCGCGAAAGCCCGTGTGATTGTGCAAACCGTTATCCGCTGGGTCCAAACCCGGTTGGTGTTACGTGTAATTTACGTGTAGGAATGCTTGGAGGAATACGTCACTCTTATGGCGCATGGAAAATTAAGCAGGTATGTTAGCAAGGTCATTTTTAGAGCTCAATATTGAACACAACACTCGCCCAGGCGACTGCACATAACAATATTAGGAAGAATATCAGAGTTTATTATCCTCAATTATGTACATTATATTTTTGCCTGAGCATCTTTTATGTTTAATTAATTTGCAAACTGTTGATTCTGAGTTTGTCTTTCTACAAATAAATAAAATAAAAACCAATAGCATATTTTAAAAACAACCATCCCTAAACTGCACCATTGCTGCTAGAGCAGTTTTAGCATCCGGCCTTGGTGAACCCCTCATCCATACACGGGAGACCAGGACAGCAGGACTTTTTGATTGTCAATTTTAATAATAGACCATTCAAATTTATTACCATCATGCATAACCTAAACATTCTTAACCAGAAATTTGCCCAACTAGCTGAGGCCGTAAAATGGGCAGCACAAGTCTTCTTTGTAATTTCTATTGTATGGGTACCGCTTCTCCGTTCGCTGTAACAGCGTAGCCATAGCCCCCGTTTTTTAATAATACATAAGTACCGAACGGTCCTAATTCGGGAGCAAACGGCTTGAAAATTTACCTGCGTATAGGACAAACCATAATCTCAGCTTCTCAGAAACATCCAATATTTGTCTCTAAAAACATATAAAAACATGGCTACGCGTACGCTTGAGGAGAAACATGTTATTCATAAAATTGAGAGTAAACCATTAGTATAGGAAAACAAAAAAAGGAGGCTTGGTCTTTTATACGCAGAATCTTCATAGCAAGTTTTACGACGTTGCATTCCAAGATTTACTTTATTAGGAAACATTTGTATGGTAATCTTGGCTCGACATTAATCTCATTAATATTAATATCAAAGTTACATTATTTATCCTTTGTCTTTAGATACCACTGCGGGCTGTAATGTGAACTTGTAATTGTTAAATTACGCTTGTTCGTTTATTAGCTGCACTTCACTACATGTGTGAATCAGCACACTCTGTTGATGTAAGTGTCTTTTTGACACCAAAACGCGCTATTCTAATTACGCCAGATCACAAAGAAATTATCTCAGCTTAACTTACGCGAAGCCAAGTTAGTCTTTTTCTTTTTTACTTACAAATTTACAATAAAGTATTGTACTTTTCGAAGGAAAGTATATTATAAGCATATATCGATATACTTTCAGTGTAACTATTAAGACAGAGTCTGTATTATAATAATTGTTTTAATCTGTGATTTGAATTGAATAAATTCCAGGTAAGTTAATGGTATCATGTTAATTATAGAATGCAGTTTGCTTAATTAATGCTCCTTCCCAATACATACCAGACAAAAAACCATCGTCACTGTCATAAGTCAGCTGTTCGAAATCGACCTTGTATCTTAGTAATCCTCCAATTCCACCAAATCCTTTGACAAATTGCGATCCCTCCGGTGAGCGATTAGTGATAAACTCTAGTGTCGCACCAAAGTCTTTGTAATGTTCAGCAAGCCATTCGAGTAGAGACAATTTATCAACAACTTCCATCTCTGCTCCAGTTTCCTTGTCTTGAAAACGAGATCGATCTTTTTCCTGTTCCTTAGTTAAATGGATCATTGTCTCAGCTGAGGTGGGAAGGAGTGATTGGATAAATTCATGGCAATCAGAAATTAATGTCAATACCCATATCGGCGATAGAATAACACCCTGCGATAATTATCATATATATCCAAGAGCGTCTCAATATCAGATTAACTTACTTCCAGCAGAATTCTTCAAGATATAACGTGAAATATCCAAATTCTCCCAGACAATTAATGTCTCTACTGCGCCCAGTTCTAATCCTTTCAGTGTGTCATCGACACCAAAGCAGAATTTACCAGTGTCCTGAGAGATTTCGTCAAAGTACTTTTGAATTAATTTTTTTTCTTGGATGAATTTCTCGTTTGCTAAAGATTCAGCCGCAAGTTCGATAGCCTTATAAGTACATACAATAAGATGAAAGAATGAATTTGTCAGGAAATTTGGAAAAATGACAAGGTGTTTGTCGTTTGGTGACCCACTAATTAAATTGACATATTAAGGAAACAGCAGTTGTATCTGCTACTATGCATACTTGATTAAAACCGTTTTCGCCACCATAAGATACATCGACAAGTTTAATAACGCGGCTTTGGAGTCGTTGATCAAACATGTCGGACTGGGACAGTTCCGTCTTAAAATCTGCTGAACCTGCAAGAATCAACCCGGTCACATTCACCTACAACAACAATGCGTTACTATTTTAAAGAAACACGTAAAAAGGCTGTCGAGAACGTTCAGTTAAAAACAGCGACTTTTTATATGTACCTTGTCACCTGCGATGAAAAATTGGACCGCCAATTCGGCAACTTTACGAACATAATTATGCCTTTTTTCTTCACGCAATCGAGCGAAACGCAATGCTGACTGACCACCTCTACCTGAAAAACAAGAACAGGGCTAAATAAAACCTTGGTCAATCCGCGCAAACAGGAGCTGAACTCTATAAAGTTACTCACCGTGCTTCTTGGGCAGATCGACAGCAAACTTGTGTATTACCTCTCTCGTATTTCCACTCAACGTCCCAAACAGCGCACCGTTTCCATCCATAACAATAAATCCAAATTTATTATCGCTTTCTAACAGTTCTGATAGCGCCTCTGTGTGAAATTTGTTATCACAAAGATAGAGCGAGGTGTTGACTGGTTTAAATGGCTCAAAGTCAATGTTAACTTTCTTCTCTTTGCCCTCGTCCGTTACGATTGTGCCGCAGTAAACCACGAGACCGTTATTAGGAACTATGGAAAGGAAGGTTTATAATTAGGCTTAATTTTCCCTGGAACATGGCACAAACAATAGATAACGCACCTCTATTGTACAATTTGAGTCTTTGCTGCGTTGATGTAATCGCAGCAAGTACAGACAGTCTGTTCACACGAGATTTAATATTCGACGCTGTACCATATTCATCTGCTAACATCCTAGAGACCCGAGAAACTTGATCTCTTGGAGCTGTTGGTAAAGAGAACAGGAAAAGGATGATGAGTCAAGAGCGATGCTTACTACGCACATTCGAAGCATGTAATTTACTTACGGATGATAAGAGAAATCATGGAAGTTCCATTCCTAATATGCAATTAAAGATAAGGCGAGAGGTAAAGCTTTGAGCATAACGAGACCGTTGGTGCATTGTCTAAACTTCAACGGTCTAAATTCATGAACCAGATAAATAGATACATACCCTCTCGCAGCCTCTAAGCTCTTGATCAACTTTTTAACCTTCCATATTTCCACGTTCCTATCCGTGTTGTCCATCGTTTGAGTACTCATCTTGCTTTCCGTACGGAACTGAACACGGACTTGATTATTATTATCACACGCAGAGACTTGGGGCTCTCGACAAAAAAAAAAACTTTATGTATACTGGAAAAAGTTAATAATTTATGCTAATCTCGTTGCAATCTCACGGAGTTTTTTTCTGCGTCTATGACGTAGTAATGGCCACAAAATTTTTTACCCAAGGTGTTACGAACTGTTCGCGTGTTTTTGAGGGCTAAGGCTACAATTTGATACTGTTTTCTAGGCATTAATAATGAACTAGCCATTGCAATAGTTTACCGCAGATTGACTCATTTCTTGATAGGTAATAGAATACCCGTCAGATAATATGCACTATAAACATTTTGCAAATTAGAGGTTGATCGAGAATCTGAACGAAATAAAGCAGGCGCAAGAAGAAATCCAGTTTCTCAAACAACGTTTTGAAGTATTTTCAGAAAAGATTAAAATTGAGGGGCACAGAAACACTGATGAACAACACTCCACCAAAATTATCAACATACGCATTTCAATCTCTCTCTAAAGGTTGTGTTAAATATTTTGCTTTGTACTGTATTTTAATGATTCTGGAATTGAAGTAATTAAGACTTAAACTGCGTGAAATAATTATTTTCTAAATCAAGATTCAAATCATAATGCACGCGAATTGTGCGAAATTAATCTAGTGTAATTCCAGTCCTAACCATGACTAGAATGGGAACATTACATTTTTCGCTCGTAGTTTACATCTTCGGCATACACTCATAGGTGGCAACTAATCACCAATAAAAAGCGCATATAAACACAATCATAGCTCTCAGAGTTAACCGAACCCGTCAAACTAAAGACGGTCAACCATGCATCTATCAATCGAACATTATTTACTGTCTAACGGGTTATCGAGGTGATCATGTTGTTGCTCTAAAATAAATATTTTATGATAAATTCTGAATCATATTCCAAGATCGAAAATAACCCGACGCAATTAATACAAGGCAACTGACAAATAGCCTACCACCTAATAATAATATTATATAATGTAGGAATAGCAATTATTAATAGCTTGAATTAATACTTTATATAATAGTATTTTCACAATAAACAGAGTAAATAGAGTGGCATTCTCCTGTCTTTTCGTAATGATTGGATTTGGCTAATATAAACCACCCTATCAATGTGTTAATAAAGACAGTACGACAGAAAGAATTTTATTATTGAGCATCAATATTCATTTGCTGATTGACAATCAATTTATGATTACACGTAAATTGTGTCAGAAATGGCGTGACCTGGACAATTGTAAATAAAAGTGCCAGCGGTCGAGAGCTGAGATCGAGTCAAATCTCATCTTAGCAACCGGTATACGATTTCAACCGTATCGTTCAAACCCCCCAATATCCATAATCAAGCTTGTGTCCTAAAAAAAAAGAAGTATCCCGCAAGCTCATATTTATTGCAACTTCAAGATGTGAGATATGTCTATACTTTATAGAACTCAAAAATTTTGTGGGCAGAGCTCAGTAAATAATAAATTCAAAGTTTGGCAGCTTGCTATCTATGCTCAACACTGATTAAAATTTTAATTATTTAAATATTACCTCATCCTACATCTGTTACTATCAAGCTAAGTGAAAACAATCAGATAAAATGTAATTACAGTCATTTGAATAATAATCTGAAACCATTATATGTAGTCATTTTTGTTAGAAATTGATATTGGTATCATATGGTTACCAAAATATCTTTTTTTTTCCTACAGCATTTCGACCAAATGATGTGTTAGTGTCTTTACATCATAATCAGTCTGTTGTAATCAAAATACAGTAAATTGCTTACCTGCATGGATGATCCCCACTGTTAGTAAGTTCCGTCTGATCCAAAATGAATGACTGTGACGGAACGAGTCGCGAAAAATGCCTAGAAGTTAACTGCAGTTGTAAGGAGTTCGATCTGGCCAACCAAAGCAAGTTGACTTGTACGTGCAGCCACCACGCTGCCAGTCTCAAGGTAAGCCATGCAATAAACTGGTAATGATTTTGACCCAGGACTTGGGCGTTGGGGACATAGAGTAGTGTGTACATAGGGTAGAGTAGACATAGTAATACATTTTCTTTATTGCGCATTTGTTGCTTAAGTGTTAGGTGGTAGAGTGGGTGGAGCAGACATAATACGCGCCTTCATACACTACATCCTTGTTGTTTGAATAATGTGCTCTTTCCTATTGCCACGGTGATTTTTAAATAATGCTTCTCCTTTCCACTGGTCATTTAGTATTAGTGGGTGTACGGTTTATTGTCTGTTGACTAACCAATGCTTTTCTTGCCATGACTGACATATCAAATGAATAATTTCAATTTCTTGTAGAGAGCAAAACATCTTATAAAAGACTCAAAACTGAATTGCACAAAGTGTTAAACCACTTGGGTTATGAACATGCGATTGTGAACAATGAGATATCCCTGAATATGCTCAGCCCTGAGCAGAAAGCTTGTGCTATTGCTGAACTTGGCCTAGCTCTTAATCTCAGACAGCTAAAAGATGACAGAAAACAAGAGCCTGGAAGTTATCATATTATTACGGCAAGCTGATCTAAGCCAATCTTCCTCCGCAGTCAAGCAAAACCTATGGTCAACACTAATTTTAGTTCACAAAAAGAATTAATTTAGTAATAATAGCGACAGCGTCACACTCCATTAGAAAACAAAAAATGTTGCGAAAAATCTGCGATAGCACAAACGCTATAATTAGTCTATATTCTAAAAATAGTCAAAAAAGCGTTGCGTTTTTTTTTGCGACGCTCGAAGATATATAAGTAGCTCACCTTTCATCGTTGAAATAAATCAATAATACTACTGATCTAAATAGTATTCTCCCGAAATCCTTTATTCTTCTGCCGTCGAAATAATTGATTATTAGACCGGACACTTCAAATAAACGGCTCACTTAAGTTGTAACAAAATAGCATTGATTTGATCAAGCTAGTAAGCTGTCCGCTGATCAATTACGTGAATAACGGAACGAGAGTTTATAATTAATTATCGAGATGATTATTGTTTAATTAGTTTAGTAAAGACAAGTGACAGGTACCGACTAGTCGACAACAAATCGAAAATAGCCCTGTTTATTTTTAAAATAGTATTATTCCCCTTCTATTCTTTAAAGGTACCCTTATTTGTATTCACGAGTGTTTGAAACTCGGATAGGGAGTGAAAAAGCGCGCATAATTAAAATAGGTCACTTGAGGCTTAATTCAGTCTTAATTGCACGACTATCGTAGTAAGGGCGATAGTACGAGCTAAGCCTGGTAACATCCCCCGGTCGGCGAACACACCTACACAAAAAGATAAATCGCTCTCCCAAAAACCCCATTTTATTCCCGACCGTAACATAACGTATCTTTACTTCAATTACAAATAATTAAGTAAAAGAGTTGATTAATCAGTAACAAATGAATCTATTCGACTTTGTTTCTGCTTCGCGATACTGTGCAATTTCACATTTCTCTTCAATGCACGAAAGGCTTTAAATTCTCCATATATCTGTTGAAGAAAGTTGAATGCCTGCGACTACCACCCACGTATTTAGTGATGACGGTAAGAGATTTCGTACTATCTTTATCGAAAGACTAAATTAAAAGATAGAAACTCTCATTGTTTATATAACACTTTCCCTAAAAATATAGATGACTGAAATGAATTAGCGTGAGTATCATAAATCTGGTGACTAAATTTAAAATACTATAAACGAATACGAATATGAAGGCTGAAAGCGTAGCGAATAGCAATATTGATATACAGATAGTTGACGGCTAAAGTCATCCGATTAGAAATATTATTATCGAAAATCGTGTAATCCTCATCTGCTTCCAGCAAGGTAATAAACCCAAGCATATAAGCCGTCTTGGCAGGAAATTTTAAAACAAAATAATCAATTGGCTCTCCAATGGTCCAAATGTATCTCAGAAAAAAATTATGGCATCATAAAAAGGAATATAGAATTATAGCTATCAAATAATTTGGCAGAGTTGCAACAATTTAGAATGAAAGAGTGGAATGCGATTCTAAATAGTCTTCTAATTAATTTATTTAAGAACTCTCCACCTTTAGATCAATCTTTAACTATATAGCGGATTTTTGGTCGATCTATAACTATGAATAGCGAAACCTGTCTAAACTTAAACCGGTCTCGGGTTCAACCGGTCGCCTCACGACTGTACCAAACTTCTTTAATTAGAAATTTTCTTTATCTAAATGTTTACCTGAATCGGTCTCTGGCTAACCGGCTGAAAAACAACAAACCAGTTCGGCCGGTTTAAATAGGTTTCACCTGTAGATAAACGTCCAAATAGAAATCAAAATCGTCCCAATTTTTGTCCCACTTTCATTTTAGATAGGAACAGTGAACACTCTTTCTCCTGTAACTAAATGCATAGATGATCTGCCGAGAGCGAAAAAAAAGTCAATTAATATCTTTTATGCCCATGAATAAAATAAGTCTCTTCTGCTACTTCGACAAGCACTATTAATTGCAAATTCTTCTAGTTGTAGTGAAGAGTCTCAAGTTCCGAATCAAGTGATAATGAACTGACTCTCCTAGAGCTGGTGTTCTCTGTCTTTTTTTTTTATTCACAAAATGGACACAAGTCTGATGTTGTGTCCAATTTTTATTACCTAAATTAGATATCCAACCCAAATTTGGAAAGAGAGAGTTACACACGGATCATTCAATAGTTCTCTCCGTGATTGAGCTTGAAAACTTCTTATTCAAACGATGTCATTAGTTCCAGGAGTTAAGAATCCAGCAATTGACGACTTAATATTAACACTTGAATGGATTAATTACGAGGAAATCACCGACATAATGCCAACTCAAAGTGACAATGTTTATTACGCTATTTACAGGCATAAAACGTCGATAATACTTTTACTACTCGGAAATGGTGAGATATGTACACCAACATTTGTGAGTGAGTTTGCCAGAATATACTCACTTCCAACACACAAGTACAACAA